GCAGAGAGCACTCCAAGACCAAGTTTGTTACAAATTCATGTTTGGTGTGCTTTTCAGTGAGTGTCTAAAAAGGGCCCCTTTTGGGTGTGGGCCTGGGTGGGCCCAGGTGCCTCTTCACAGTCCCTGGGCTGTGGTCAGGTGCTGTGGAACTCTGCCTAGATTTTCAGCTCTGATGGAAGTCCTTTGTGGCACTGGGTTTCAGCACAGTGCGCTGACACTGACTTCAGGGCAGAGCTTGTTTTTCTGTTGTACCTGTCAGTGAGTGGGTAGAGTCTGCCTCTGTCCCAAGATTGAGGGGCAGCGATGGGGGCAGACCCAGGGCTCCCTGACTAACAACACAGCACTGGAGGTTTGGTCAGATTTTGACTCTGCTTTAAGCCTGGGTTTTCTTCTTCCCATCTTCCCAGGCAGGAGAGTCTCCAAGTCACATGACCAAGAGTTTGAGGAGAAATGATTAGGATACCTCCTTCTTTCCTGCCTCTTCAATGTGTCGTTCCTTCATTTTATGCAAAATCCAGATTTGGAACGTTTTCATCTAGTTTTCTTCACTCTTCTGAGAGAGTTTGTGCCCAAATAGGTGTTTCTGTGAGGTGGTGGTAACTGGAGGGTCTTAGTCACTCACCATCCTCTAACTGTGGTCCCCGCTATTCGTATTTAGGGTGTTACTCTCTTCCAAGGGACAGTGTGAATGAGTAGGCTTTTCCAGGAACCCTGCAAAGCCTAGAGCTCTGTCCATGACTCCATCTTGACTGTAAAGGCCATCATGTCCACCTAGGGAGGAGTTGGGTACCAGTTCCATTTTCTTCATCCTCTAATAGACACCTCCCCAGGCGCTCGTCATCCAAGCCGAGACTGAAGGAGAGGGACGGGGTGCTGGCAGTGGGGAGGGCGGTGGGAAGCATTCTGAGCAGCTCAGGTTTTGTCGTGTGGTGTAGTGCTGCCACCTGAAGAAACTCTGAACTTCTCCATGAGTCCACAAGGACCTTGGCACTAGTGTCCTCTCTTTACAGGCGTCTATCTGATTGGTCTCCCTCTCAGGATGTCGCATGTACAGGGTAGACGTCAAAGCCCAGATCTAGCACTGTGCACTGACGTCTCTGTGCTTTGAAGAGCAGGTTGAACGTGAACTCCTTGGAAGCAGACCTGGAGAAACTGGACTGAGCCGCAGGTGAATGAGACCACAGATTCTAGATTCTTAGCAGCTATGCAAGGTTGCTTAGGAGATGGTGCTGGCCCAGCCTCAGATGACAGAGATGAAAGAAGCCTGTTGGCTCTGCGTTCTCCACCCTGAGGTTGGCTCAGTGCATTTAGCAATAAGTAGAGGGAAATTTCCTGTAAAATGTGTCTTTATTCTCGCATCCACCTGTGTGTACATTGCCTCTTGTCACTTAACTGAGCTGCAAGATTCTTATGGCATGTGTGCAGGTGTGCATGCACACGCTCACATGCACACACACGCGCGCGCGCGCGCACACACACACACACACACACACACACACACACACACACACACACACACTGGCTGCGGACCTCCAGGAGTGTTGCTGTTTATTTAAAGTCCTACCAGTTCTGGTGAGAGACGAAGTCACTCACCAAGTCTCTAATTTTGTTTCTCCTACATTGGACTTAAACCAGTAAAACTTAAACGAAACAAAAACTACAAACAAACAAACAACAGATGAAATACATTATTAAAAAGAAAGCATTTTTTTTAATGTATGAACTTAAAACTTTTGCCAAAATGCTTCCTGGCTTCCTGGCTATTTTTTTGTTTTGTTTTGGTTTTTTTTTTTTTTTTGGCTTTTTGTTGTTGTTGAAGTAGAAGCTACTTAAAATATTCCACAGAGGAAATTTGCAGACATTGAATTCTGAATTTGAAAACAGAGGAGTCAGTGTCTGTGGACAGAAGCCACATGGGCAAGTCTGTCCGGAAGGTGCACTGCAGCCTGGAGGACTCTGAACAATCATTTGCTCAAGTAGAGCCTTCCGCCACAAGGATGCCATGCCTGCCTCCCCGTTTTCCTAGCCTACACTTCCCACTTCATACACACACACACACACACACACACACACACACACACACACACACACGCACACGCACGCACGCACGCACGCACACACGCACGCACGCACTCACGTCACCCTCCATTTTCAATCCACCAGGGAATGTGGAAAGGAGAGTTTGTGGGTGACTTGGGAACAGCGCTCTAAAACCAGGCTTGTTTCCAAGGACTTTGGCTTCAGTCATGACACACCCACTTCCCATTTCCCATCTATTTTGTGTTCAGATTTGGAGTGACTAATGGCCCAATTGGTCATCATCCTTGGGCCAATTTCTAGGTATCCCTGGGACCTGAGACTGACTTTTGGAATGAGAGCATTGTCCGCCTGGCTTACAGGCACATTGTAGCCATTGATCATCCTCAGAGCCTAGCAAAGCAGAACACGACCTTGCAAGGAATGGAGAGAATAATTTGTCTGCTTCATCTCATAAAATATAGCAAGGGCCAGTGTAGGTTTAATTTTTCGTGTACCTCACAAAAGAGCTGGATTATGTTAAATGGAAAAAATCGGCAAGAAACCATGTGTTGTTCACTAATGGTACCAGAAACACGGAATGAAGTAGGGGATCCCAGGGCTACTGCTAAGGGCTTAGAGGCTGAAACCATCATGGAAGGGGTGGGCTCACAGGTCAGGATATGTGGACAGAAGTAGAAAGCAGAGATGCTTGTACACATCTGTTGTCTTCTTAGTGTCCCTTCCCCTTGTGGTAAAGCATCCTGTGATGGACTGTAATCTCAGCTTGAGACAATGGAGGCTACAGAGTCAACAGCTCCAGGGAGCTGGTCACATCACTTCTGCTTCCAAAATCAGAACAGAGAGCAAGGAAGGTGTGTGCTGCTCCTCAGCTCCCTGTACTTAAACTTTCCATGATCCCAGTTAGGGAATGGTTCCACTCACAGTGGGCAGAACTCCTATCTCAATGCAACAGGCATGTCCAGAGGCTTCTATCGGGTGATTTTGAAGTCGACATCTGTGAAACACTGTCTGCAGGTCTGCGGTGGGATGCCAGTGTGCCTGGATTGTTCATGTGAACGATGATGTGATGACGGACCAACAGGACAAGCCAGGAGACTTCCCTAAGAGACTGGACTCCTCCAGCATTGTCTGCTGGGCTGTGAGTTAATAACTCACCTGTGGCCTTTTAGATGAGTTTACCTATGGCCTCTTCCGTACCAATATATCAATGTGTCAAATCTTCAGTCAATTTAACCCTGGCTAGTCTAGAACTCAGCCTGTAGCTCAGGTTGGCCTTGAATTCCAGAGATCCATCTGCCCCTATGTCCTGAGTGCTGGGTGTGATTAGAGGACACTTTGCAGAATCAGCTCTCTCTTTCCACCACACAGTTTCCCTGTGTCGAACTCAGGTCAGATTTGGTGGCAGGCTCCTTTATACACTGAGCCATCTCACTGGCTCAATTCCTTTTCAAAAGTGGAATTGCCTCTCTTTGGTGCAGGGGCTGTGGGATAGGCTGCAAGCTTCTCTCTGTGCAGAACCTTTCTCCAGGATTGAACATTCCCTTACAAAGGCTGCTGCGGAGGGCTGTAGCTTTGCTGTCAGGACCAACTACCACAGCCCCATTCTAGGGGCAATGCTAACCGCACCAATCTTTTCCCTATCCTTGCCTTTCTCTTCATTCCATTCATTTCACAGCGAGATCCAATATTCTCTTGTGTGTCCTGTCTTATAGCTCATTTGTGTTGTAAGGATTCAGCTTTATGAGGAATTTCATTTTGTATCATAGTGTGTGGAACATTTCTTTATGTTCTCAAGCACCTACTTAGATTTTTCATGTCTCTTAAGCAGCCCAGCCTGAAGAAAGGGAATCACGGTGTGGCCACGTGGTGTTTTGAATGAAGATGGTCCCCATAGATTCATAGGGAACGGCACTAGTAGAGGTGTGGTCTTGCTGAAGGCACGGGTGTAACCTTGTTGAAGGCAGTGTGTCCCTGGGGGTGGGATTTGAGCTCTCAGATGCTCAAGCCAGGCCCAGTGTCTCTCTTCCTGCTGCCTGCCCATCCAGATGTAAAACTCTCAGCTCCTTCTGCAACACCATGCTAGCCTGCACTAACTGTCATGCTTCCTGCCCTTACCATAACGGACTAAACCTCCAAAGCTGAAAGCCAACCAATTAAATGTTTTCCCTTATAAGAGTTGCCATGGTTATGGTGTGTCTTCACTGCAACAGAGATCCTAAGACATCACTGACCCAGTGCCAAGTGTGGTTACTTTGGAGAACTTTAGGGTTGCAAGGTTATAGGTGAGAATACCTCCTCATCGTATTTTGTTTTCACTTCTCTTTGGCTTAGAGGTCTCAAGACATAAAGGTTGAATCATCATAGTCCAAAACAAAAACACAAGCACAAGGCATATAAAAGTTAAGAGCCTTGCCTTAGATCATGGAGCTAGGGAATGCTGAAGCCAGACCTTAAACCCAAGTCTGTCTCTCCAGTCCTACACTTAACTGCAGGACACTTAGAGCTTACCATATATTAGATGTCATCATACTGGCATCGGAAGTGTTAGAATGGGATTCTAAGCACGTGCAGGTGAAGTCCCAAGGCTGTTTTTGCTATTATATAGGTGTGAGATGCATCAAAGGCAGTCAAAAATAGGAGGAAGCTACGGACCATAGTTGCGAAGGTAGTTTGCATTTAATTTGGGCAAGGCATTTATTGACTATTCTGGACACAGATCAAACGACATATATTTTGGCAACCCTCTCCCTGAGCAGTTCAGAAAGGAGCACGTGGCTAAAAGTGGTCATCACATGTCGTGATCATCACATGTCGTGATCAGCTGAGAAGAGTCAACCAGTGAGTTTTTGCTGGTTCTTCATTTAGGATTGATTTCTAAGACTTTAGTCTTTTTTTTTTTTGGAAAGCAATTGATGGTGCTTACAAAAAGAGTGGGTTAAAAAGACACACACACACACCAGTGTTACAAAACCTTGTATTAATCATTTCCCTTCACTCTCAATATAACCATATGAAATATAGCCATGATTCTTAATTCCGTAGGAGGAAATGAATAATAAATACATTGTAGCAAGTTTAGACCACAAGGGTGTTGTCACGGGTAACAACATTTGAAAACTGTACACTTGCAAAGAATAGCATCTTCAAACATTAGTATATCTGTATATCAGTAAAGCTTTTACATGTAACAAACATGCTCTTTCCATATATGACAAATTTAAAAAATATGCATTGCTTGGCAACATGAACTAGGCAAAAATATTTCTTTGTTCACTGACTTTATACAGGAAAACAGGACAAAAGGCATGCATGTACAATACGAATGCCTGCACAGGGCATGCAACGAAAGAAAGCCTTCTGAAGGTCAGCTTACGTTAGGCATAAATACGTGAGGGTTATATATTAATAAGGGAGGAAGTCTTCTGTTTGCCATTACTAACATTCCTGCTTTCTTCTCGCTCCTCCCAGAGGGATACACATTCACCTTTAAGTCAAGATAAAAGAATTAAAACAAAAGTCACTTTGCAAACATCTCTGATGAGTTGTAAAAAAAAAAAGAAGAAAAAGAAACAAAAACAAACCCAACATTAGTGTTATCACAGCTCCGCGTTCAACTATCCTGCTGCAGGTTCTGATTGTAATGGGCACACCTTGGCACCCTGGGCAGGGTGCTTCCCCAACTCAGGCTAGAGTGGAAAGACGTCCTACAGAACCCACGTTCCTCTCCTTCCTAGCTCGGTCCTCCACCCAGGCTCTGGGGGACACAGGTCTACAAACCTTGCATCAGTATAAGCTACAAGAGGCACAGAAGAACAAAATACCCGGAGAAGACCCCCATTCTGCAAAAGGCAGCCAGCGACACCTCAAAAGAAAACCTGGTTTCCCTCAGTGTCACCTCAGAAGAATGGGAGGTGGGGCCCAGTCGCAGCTCCCGACCTGGGTAGCAGAAAAAGACCTTCAGGTCAACCCAGGATATGAGAGAGCTTAGTGCAAACAGCAGCCCTTGGCAGGCAGGCCCAGCAGCATCTATAATGCTTGCTGGATTTGTGTTTAAAAGAAAAAAAAGAGTGAAACTCAAAAGCATGTGTGGGGGAAGGAGAAAAACAAAACACCATCAGCAGCAATGTTTCGTGTCTTGTACACAGTTTAGTGTGTTTCTTCCTACTGTGTTCTGGTAAGAAAACACTGAGTAAAAAGCACCAATAAAACATCACCCATGATATCGCAGACCAGCACTGTGCCTCAGACAGTGCAGAGAGTCATGCTGCTTACATCAGAGTGGGGGGGAACCTATGCAGTGAAATAGATTTTACTCTGAGAGTTTCAAACCTTTACTATTTAATATAAAACAGCTGCACGGCGTGGGGGTGTCAATGGGTAAATACAAAGAAGGCACTGCAGCTTATTCCTACGGGTCTAGCCCTCACAGCCTCAGGCATGAAATCGTTTCATTCTTTGTATAAATAAGATTCCTTTGCTTTAGGGTTTTAAAATTGAGCTGTGTACCTGCAGTCAACACAGGAATCTAAACAAGATGGGCAGAGGCTCTTAAAAATCAGAAAACTTAAAAAAGAGAGAGAAAACATTAACATAGCAAACCACAACTAAGTAGATAAATCTTTACAGTCAATGAAAAATAAGCTTTCCTTTTTTTTTTTAAAAAAAAAGAATTATGTTGTTACTAATAACAGAGTTTATCATGGTTACCAGCCATAGCAAGTTAATAAGTAACATATCCAAAATAATATCTCTAGTAATCAGATAACCATTGTTTCTATATTCAATGAAGGAATAAATAGGAATTCAGATTTGCAAATACTCTATGGTCTTCTTCTTTTTAAAAGACTCACGTTCACACGATTGTGATCACAATCCGGCTTCTGAGTAGCCTATGTCTTTATGGGCATGTGGCAGATCCCCACACCGTTGGCTTCCTACGAGACGAGGAATCCCGTTGTTCCTCTCCGTTTACCTCCTCAGCGTCCTCCAATCACATCCTCAGACCCTCTGGCCGTGCCTTTGGCCTTCTACATTTTCACCTATTCTGCCTCACATGTGACCATCCATCCCACCCCCTCCCCCAACACTGAGACTGTTTGGAAAAGGTGCGTGAGGGGTAAGTGTTAATGGCACTTGGTTAAAAACATTATATATACACATATAGAAACTAAACACGCTTCTGCTCATGGATTTGCATCTTCAAGACCTGCTCACCCAGGAGTGGCCTGACGCCCTTGTTACTGTTGTTGCAATGTGCTGCATGGAATGGCTCACCCAGGGCCTCTGTGCTCACTAAGAGCTCTGTCTGCTTAGGGTGCCCTTGGCCTTCTGGACTGCAAGGATTGCAAGATCTCTGTTGCAGCATCCAAGGCTGGGCTAGCTGTACATCTGTAATCTTGACAGGTAAACAAAGTTGTGTGGATTTTTATTAAGGCCTTTAAAGTCTGGATGCCCTTCACTAATTTGAAAAAAAAACCCAAAAATGAGTAACATGGGCAAGGTGCAGTCATTTGCATGGTTCGATCCCTTTAACTTTGACTTAGACATCACTTTTTATTTAAAGAGGCATCAGTCTCACCCACTTAATGAACAGGCCTTACTTCATCTCCCAGATCATGCCTCTGGTAAAGCATTTACACCATCCCATTTGCACAACGAATTTTCTAGTGCAGTGCACAATTCCTTCTCGATGTCCTCCAATATCCTTCACTGCATCAAATTCTGAAATGTTGCCATGACTCTGCGGCATCCCAGCTGATCTCTCACTGCATGACGGGTCACACGAGTGTGTTTTCCCTTGCCCGTGTAAGGCTGGATCAGTCATTCCCCAATACAGCAAACCTGGACTCACACGCATGGACACAGCCACCATTTCTCTCTCTCACAAGCTAACCTTCCCTGCTTCTGCTTTCATAGCCCGCCCTGGATGGTGGCGCCTCTGCCTCTCTGCACTGATCTCTCTGGCACTATTGCTGGACCATTCTTCTTCAGCAGAGATGGGGTAAAAAGAATACGGCTCCCAGGCTCCTGCAAACCCTCCATCACAAGCGTTGTGAGTCAGAGACCTCTAGCGGGACTGTGGAGTGAGACCAGGGGCCTGTGGGGAGGTTTGGAAGCAAGACAGACCTTGGGTGGGATGCAAATCCAGCCCAGAAAGAGGTTGCAAAGTTTATCATCTCTGGGTGACCTATGAGCAAATCCGTAACTGACCACATGAAGCCACCAGCTCTGTGTCCTTGGCACACCCTCTCACCCTTCACATGCATCCACACACTCCTCCTCCCACCTCATGGTGGAAGCTCCTCCCACCTCATGGTGGAAGCTCCTCCCACCTCATGGTGGGAGATGGCCATGCGAGGCCTACTTGACTGCATCCATCTTCTCGAGAAGCAGAGCTTGGCAGCCGTTTTAAAAGACACCTGCTACTATTATAAAAATAGATGAAACAAAAATGAATCCATAGCAATCAGTCTTTTACAAAAACCATAGTATGAAGAGAAGTTCTACCCAAACTCTACAGGTTATGTACCCTTTAAAACTCTTATGTAAACAATACACAAATCAAAGTTTGAAAGTTTGCTGGAGGGAATTTCGTCCTCTTGCCCTTGTTGCCACATGGCCCTGTCCCGTGGCTGCTTGCTTCAAGCAGGGCCTTAGGGAGATCCAGTCGAGGAGACACAAACAGGCCAGCCACCTCTTGCTCTGGTTGCCTGTACCCTCTGTCTTGTGCCGGCTGACTACATGAAGCGGGCTTCTGAGAAGCTGCCCCGGGCCGGGCAGCTTCCTCCCTCCCGAGTGTCTCCTGGCGGTACTCCTCCCCACCCCATTTCCATCCAGGAAGCCATGAGCATCCTTCCGCCCCACCCCGCCCCACAGTTCCCTAGAGTCCCCTCCCCACCCTGCATACCGTCCCATCCCACGACAGAAACAAACGACAACATGACCAACCCCAGGTCTACTGATATGTTTACAAGGATGACCTACGCTCTCACAAAATCAAAATGGGCGAGGGACCAGGGGGAAAAGGCTGCAAAGTGTCCTGGAAGACTCTATGCAACCCTGAAGATGGCTGACACTGGGCCCGCAGCAGTCGATTTCACGGCCAGCGCGGTCACTCTCATCTTCAGTTTCTAGATTGTGGAGGTCCGGTCAACCCCATCTGTGGAAAGGAGCCACAGAGGGCTGGGTGAGCAAAACCAGTTCTGGGTTAACCGGCCACCAGCAACGCCAACACCGTGAACATCCCGGGCTCTGAGGTGACGTCATCACCCACCCACCCACCCACCCGCTGACATAACCACACATCTAACATCTGGAGAGCAGCTTTTTTGTTGTTGTTGTTTTTAGACGTTAGCTACCTTGAGCCTGGGAGCCAAGATGCAACTGTCCTCACTTCCCAAGCATTCACATTTTAGAATTTATATCACTGACACATGGATCAATAATGACGCTCAGAGTGACGGTGGCTCTAACCAGTGTGTTCTGGGAAGGAAGGGGCATGGAGGGAGGAATGTATAGGTCAGTCTTGTAGATCAAGGACACACAATGACTTGCTGATGGAGCTGCAAGGCGTGTGCTAAGCAGGAAAAGATGGTGGGTAGAGGGTAGGGGACAAGTCAGTCAGTAGAATGATGTGTTACCAAATGGAGGGGCTGGCAGTAGGCCCTAGGTGTAGGAAAAAGGGGTTGGGGACCCAGCGGCAGGAACAGGCCTGTAGCAACAGGGAAGGACTAGAACAGAAATGTAAATGCAAGCCAGGCCACAGTGGTGCACACCTTTAATCCCAGCACTTTGGAGACAGAGGCAGGCGGATCTCTGGGAGTTCGAGGCCAGCCTGGTCTACAGAGGTAGTTCCATGAGAGCGAGAGCTGTAACACAGAGAAACCCTGCCTTGAAAACTCAAAAAGAAAAAAAATGTAAATGCAATTGTGGAGCTCACATCCATTTCTTTGGAATTATTTCCCTCCTACTGGAAATTCCTTGATGAAGGGCTAAAGACAAAGAGACCCACTCCTGCCCACAGCTGGGCAATCAGGGGGATGGATATAGCTGACCCAAATTCTCCGCAGCAAGAATAGGAGTAGAGGCGGGAAAAGCAAGGGCAGAGGCTGTGTGCATGCAGAGTTGGAGGCTTGTGACAGAGGAGGGTAATTACCCAAGCCTCCTTGACACATTGGAGAAGCGGTCTTGCTGCAAGGTGTGTGTCTGAGGGGGGGACTCGTGCCTGGGAAACTAGAGGCCGTGAGAGAGCTCGACAGTGGAGCTGCCTGTTTTCGTGAGGGCTCCAGCCCAGTCCCCAGCAGCAGACCCAATCATCCCGCACACCGAGAGAAGGACCTTGGAAGGGCACAGGGTGGGGACTGAAACCAGCAGAACTATGCAATCTCACTTTAGACGGACTTCTTTGGCAGTTGGTGCGAGGAAGTATCCATGCTGGTGCGTGTTGGAGCTGACGGGGTTACACAGAGGCAGAGAGAGGCATGGGTTGGTCACCACAGAGTAGAAAAGATGGTGTCCTATGATGAGGGCAACAGTGGGCTAGCTACAGAGCACTTCTTTGGCTTCGGCGAGCTCCAGAGGCTAGCCAGCGTGACTATGGCTGGCTAGAGAACATCTCTAGTTACCGTGCAAGACTCAGAGACAAGACAGAAGTGCCTGAGCATTCCAGGGAAAGCTAGGGACCTGAAAGGCATGGGAAGGCAGAGATTCCGCTAGCAGGAATTTCCTGACTCCTTGCTGGGAGTGTCATGTTGGCAATTCTGCCAGCTCAAACTTGGAGGAGAGGTGTATTTTTTTTTAAAAAAATTATTGAGATAATTATAGCTTCACATGCATTCGTTAGAAATTGTCAAGCAAGATCATGTGGGTACCCGGTCAGGTCCCACAGTCGTGACAATTTGTAAAGGTGTAATGGGACATTACAGTGAAGTCACTGACTTTTAGATAATCCATTGATCTTATTTAGATTTCTCCAATTTTATTTGCACTCGAGTGCGCGCACGCGCACGTGTGTGTGTGTGTGTGTGTGTGTGTGTGTGTGTGTACTATGCAGGCAAGAATGGAAAAGCATATTGTGTAACTTCTGTCAATTTAGGGAGAGATTTTAAGAAGGGGCAATGGCTCCTGCCAGTTTGGGGTGTTGGGGCGTCGGCTAGCCCACAGGTGGGATCTTTCTGACCAATAATGACTTTCTGTGGCGTCAACCTGAGTCAGCGCCTCGGGCTCGACAGTCGTTGGAGAGCAGGGGTGCCTGCCAAGCTCACTCTGCTTGTTGGATGTCTACTGCAGACATCTCTAGACGTATAGCACACTCTTGCTTGGCTCTCTGGCCCACATATTACTGCTGAGTCTTCAGAGCTGTGAAAGTGAGGAGCAGGGAGCGTGAAAATCTCAACTAGCCCAACTCCAAGGCACATTAGCATTGCATTTCAACCACATGATATGTCTTCCGAGGAAAGCCACCCTAGGATTTTCAGTTGCGAAAGCTGCACACTGACAACGTCATGGGCCAGCACACCCAAACATGCACCACAGGTTTCATACTTATCACAGCAACAAATGCCATCCTAGCGCCCTGAGAGAATAATTTGCATAGGGTCTCTGCATCTGTGCCCGTGGGGCTGGTAAGGTTGGGAAGGGGTGAGCTGACAGGGGGAGTAGAACAGGAGGGGGAGTGTGAACTTCAGAACCCCGGAAAGGGCTGTGTACTTTTCTCTTCTTAGTTCCGGCCTCAGACTCTGACAGTGGAGTCTCCTGTAGACCCCGGAGTCCCTCTATCAGAGGCTTGGGGACTCATCCTCCCTGAATACCATAGGCAAGGCAGAGAGCCTGATGGCGGATCCACACCCCTCCTCCTCGTATCCTTTTGGGTTTGTTGCAGGGGCCTCGGGGAAAGAAAAGATGAGAAAGGAGGGGCCAAGAGAAAAGGGCTTAGACAAGTACCAGGAGGGCAGCAGTTACCAAGGAAACAGAGAAGAGCAGAGGCATCAGAGGCGCCTAAAAGTTGACGCTGTGGACCACAGTGGATGGCCGTCTGGGATACAGATGGATTGATGCCCTCCTCCTGCATCCCTGAGTCATGGCACAGGGACTTTTCCTTCCTTCTTTTATTGTATGTCTCATCTCTGTATGCGTGTGCACACATGTACAAGTGTCTATATGCATGGAGGTCAGAAGTCAGCATCAGGTATCTTCATTATTTTTTGAGAGAGAGTATCTCCTGAACCCAGGACTCACTTATTTGACTAAACTGGCTACCTTGAAAACTCCAGGGATCTGCCTGTCTCCACTTACAGGCATATGTGAAAGCTGCCATGTGTAGCTTTTTACATGGATTCTGGGGATTTGAACTCAGGTCCTAAAGCTTGTATGGCAAGCACTTTGCCCACTGGGCTATTTCCCCAGCCCCAGAAGAACTTTAACCGTGCTTTCCTCTTGCCATTTCTTTTCCTGTAAAATGATTTAATTTGTTGGCACGATGTCCCCAGCAAGGTTATCGTCCCTGGCACCTGGGAAGGGCTGGCCCATAGAGACACTGCCCCAGCTGGAGGCTCCTGTACTGGGTCAAGTCACCCTCAACTTGATTTGCATGCTCTGCCCCTGACACTGCTCAGGAGGAGGCTGCCCACAAGAGGGGGGTTACTGAGAGAAAAACAAAAAACAAAACCCACAGCGATAAAAAGGCTTAGGAGACTAGCAAGATGAAAACATCAGTAAAAAGCCATCAGTTCCAATAGGTAGTCTGTGAAAATAGAAAAATCGGCTTACCAAAAAAAAAGTCTGTTCAATGAAAACTCCCCTCGAATAGAGTATCTGGCATTTTTGCTGCTAATGATGAAAATAGCAGCACTTAACCAGTTACCCGAGGGTCCGTCAGGCCCTGTGGGGGGAGGTCAGGTTTTCTTTCTGACTCTCAAGGCAGTGGCTGGCATACTGCACCAGGTTCCGTACGCAGCAGTAGACAGGGCTTTAGACTTCCTACCAGAGATGCTTTTGAGTTCGCCCATGTTGTGTTTATGAGAACTTCTCCCCTGGCAAGGCTGTTACTCATTCCTCAGAATGGTCACACCACAGTGTGTTGATCCTTTTTGGGTGTTTGTTGAGGGACTTCTGACACAGCTGGTGACAACTCCCAGAGGTGCTTTGAACCTCCAGGATCAGTGTGACCAGAGAGACAGAGCAGCCGTTTGCCAGCAGGGCCTCCTGGATCTTTTCTGTTTGGTCAGAAGCCCTGTAGCGCCATGGTAGCCCCAGGACCCCTGAACTCACTTCTGACATTTAAGTCCAGCTGGGGGAGTTCCAGCCCTCAACTCTGTTCCATGTAAACCATTTATTTCCTATTTTCTTTTCAGTATAATATCGTATTTTCACACTATCCTTAGTCTACAGAGATTAAACATCTAAAGGCCGGGGGCAGGGGATCTTGAGGACAAAGTTTCAGGAACGGTAACTGGTGGCAGCCTTTCCACCCACTGCTGTCAGAGGATGCTCAGCCGGGCCCTAGGTGTGGCAATGGCCCAGATCTCACCCGGGCAGGCAGGTGTATCCAGGCAGGAGGGGGCTGTTGGGGAGGCTCCCAACAGCCTCTCTGTGGAGCATAGGCTATCAGGAGGAAGAGGAGAACAGGAAGGGCTGGCTGAAAGTATAGACAGAGTCCATCTCTTACGCTCCTACCAATTTTCCACAGATGTGCGAACCCCTGAGCTTGGGCCCGGGACAGGTGCAAGAGGAGGCTGCAGGCCAGACTGATGAGAGTAGGGGGCACGGATTTGAAGAGAATGTTCCTGGCTCTAGTTAAATGTGAGGGTATCCAACCTGTGCCTGTCACGTGGTAAAGGGCCCCTCGGTTGGCTTGGGGCTCTAGTGTCACACAAGCCATTTGCAACAGGGATATTTAAAAACAAGTAGAAATCTTTGTTTCAAAAATTCTATTTTTAGAGCATGTTGGGATATGCTCGGCCCAGACTGGCAGATCCAGTAACGAGAGGGAACATATCCAAATCTGTGGGAGATGCTCCCAATAGAAGCCATATCTGTGTGTGTCTGATGCCTCCAGCTCCTGCATTTGGCCGGGACTACTGCTGTGGGGTTCCAGTGTGTGCTGAGGGGAGGAGTTTCCAGGGCTAGGGGGATGGTGCTGGTCTTTCTGGCCTCTATTTCCCTGACTCATCTCCTACAAAAAGAACAGAGCATAAAGACTGTGCGGGGAGGAGGCTCCACGGCACCCCAAGCTGTACCAGTGCGTGCAGAGGGCACACTGACCTCCCAGGGCATGCTCCGTCATACTGAGGCACAAGGACTCCAGTCTGTTGTTGATGTCAGGTTCAGTCACAGGAAGCTGGAATTCTGCACGAAGAAAGGGGTACATTGATTACTGGGACTCCTGGGACAAGAAAGAAGTATCCACGAGGTCACCTGGTGCCAGGATAAGTGTCTAGTGTGTCTCCCCTAGGAGGACTCACGGGGACCTTCAGGGCCAGCATGAAGGGGGACCGCCTCTGAGGTCTGTTAGACGCAGAGGCCCATTGTAGACATGTAGGCTTGAAGTGAACTGATGACTAAAATGCTAGTCACAGTCATAGGCCGTCACTCTTGCCTGAACCGTGTGATGGCTTTCCCACGAAAATAAGACTCAACAGTGGTCTACAAGGCCTCCTTACATTCCTGTCCTCATACAAGTCCCTCTTCCTCTGTTCCATCGCAGGCCCTCTTGTGTCCTTGTCTTTGTACCAGTGTTCTCTCTGCCTCAGTGTCAGCCAGCAAATGCTCTCCTGGATCACTCTTTCCCTGCCTCCATAGCTCAGGGTCTACCGTCTTCCTGAAAGTACCTTCCCCTAACACTCCTTTTCCTCTTTCTTTCTTTGTATCGTTAAGGCTGGGTGGTTCACATATCTGCCCCTCCTTCTTTAGGGCTGGTGTCATTGGAGCGGGGCTTAGCAACCGTCACCAAGTCTGAAACCCAGCCTATAAAATTCTGCTTCGTGGTGAGAAGCAAGTACCACACACCCAGCCTAGCAATTCCCCTTCCAAGTGATGCCTCTGCTGGGCCAGCTCCTTTACTGCCCAGCACACTCAATCCTCAGTGGAGCTCAAGAGGGCTGGTAGCCCATCAAGACTAGCTAGGAAGCATAGGGCTAGGAGAAGAGTCCTTTTCCAGCCTGCTCTGGTGACTGTCATGACTGCTCACCACATTCAGTCTCTAAGCACACTGACTGGAGGAACTGAGACACTTACTTAACCATGACCAGGAGTCAGCTCCCACACAACCACAGACAATCCGAGACCCTCTACCAGTGGGGAGCTCTCCATCTTCCCGGTACTGCTGACCCCTCTCCCCCATGGAAGGAAGGTAGCTCTAGGGACCTTCTCTTCCTGACTGGGACTCAGTGCCATCCCCTTTCCTGCCCCCTCCTGTGGCACCATGGGATGCCATTAAATACCTAGAAGAGTCTTGTACATGACAACAGTGCTTTGACTGTCTATATCTGGCTGTCCTGAAACATGTGGTCTCTCTTCTACCACCAGCAGTGAAAAGCTATGACACCACACCCTGGGGACAGGAGCAGGAGAAAAGCCCTATAGCATACGCTGGCAAATGGGGTATGTTCCAGGTGTCTGGCATGTCCCAACACTGTCACTGCTTTCCTTTGTGACTTCAGGAGGCTGTTTCTTTCCTTGAGATTTACTTCCACTTGACATGTGGGGAAAAGGATGGGGTGGGCTAACGTTTAGGCATTGCTTGCTCCTTCACTACTACGCCAAGAGCACGTGGTTTGAAGGGGCAGGTGTTGGTGGTTTGGCGAGAGAGCAAGTTGAAACCAATGACTAAACCGAACATCTGTTTTTATCTAATTAGCTGCACATTAACATCTTTCTCTGATAGGTGAGATGGCTCCGCGCTGAAAGGCGCTTGCCACCCAAAGCTGGCATTCTGAGTTTGATCTCTGAAAGGGATCCTCTGACCTCCACTCTCACGTTGGGCCACGTAAACCCGCACACAAACATGCACACAGTAATAATTCTTTTTTTAAAGGGTTTTAAAGCTCTTCTTTTGCAATTTGCATCCCCCTCCTAATTCAGAGGCAGGTGCCATCTCCATCATTTCAAATTCTCAGAGAAGGCTGACAAAACCGGTCAGTATGAAAAGCACCAAGCAGCAGATAGTGACCTTTCTGTGACAAGCTGCAGCATCCATGAGGTTTGGAAGACAACTGGGCCAACTCCTGAGTGGATGGAGGCCTGTGTGGCTTCTAGGGAAGGTGGGAGCCAGAAAGGATGGGAGGAGTTTCTCCTGAGCCCACCTAGGAGCTGCTGGTAAGAGCAGGGTTTGGGCAATTAGACCATCCCAGGGGGAAGAGTATTTTCGTATTTCCATCCATTCATGTGAAAATCATATGCACGCAAAAATTAGCAGCCTTTGGGGTGTGAAACCTATAAAATAGAAACAGAATTTTATATATAGCTAGTTAGCAAATACGGAAGGGAAAAAAAACAAACTTCAGCAATTATAGCCATCCATATGCTCACTGGAAGAGTGCGTTTACTCTCTAGCACTCCCCTTTAAACAAACACTGTGGAGAGATTTGGATAAATAAAGACGCTCGACATTTGGAGAGAAGAGACTCAGCTGCAGGCTTTCTTGCCAAGACGCAGCAAAATGCCATTTTCCAAGCCTGGGATTGCGTGCTTCCAGGAAGCAGGCTGAGAAACAGCGGGGCTCTCAGCTCCAGACTCTCCAAGCCGCGCCGTGGCTGCTCTTTTAGGTGGGAAGTTGGTTGGCTTGCGTTTTCTTGTCTCCACTCTTCACTCTGGGGAGCTGTGATCCCCACCCCCGTCAGAGCCCTACTGAAAAATTTCAAGTCTTGGAGAAGTCCATATGTTCGTGCTTCAGAGAACCTTAACAGTGTGACTTTTTAATTGTGTGTTTGATAAAAACAGACCAAAGGCGTCTCGCCACACATGTCAGAGAGGATGATCAGGTAGATCAAAGCTTCTGTCTGGCTAGCATCCTTCAGTCGCGCACCCCCCCCACCGGCCCCTCCTTAAATTTAGCTCTAAGGGACAATCAGGTAGTGCTGATGGCCATAAGAAGAGAGGCACGGATAGGGCTGCAAGCCTTCAGTAAGACAAAAGGAAGGACTTCCTTGGACCTTCTTTCTATTATCCTCAGGAGGTCTGGTCCTTCATCTGGGACCACAGCTCTGAGGTGCTATAACTGGAAAAGCCAAAGTCCGAATCCTGTACATGTGGACATGGTACTACCAGTACTTTCAGACATTCAGATTAGGGTAAAGTTTATGCAAATATTCTGGAATTTGGAAAACTCTGACACTGGAAGCACATCTGGTCCTAAACACAAGCCTGGTGTAGGACCATTCAACCTCTGCCAGGAATCCTTCTTTCCCTCATCAGTAGGCTATAATTCTAGGGTTTCATAAGGGCTCTGAAAATTAAAGGTCCAGGGCTAAGGTGGTCTCACAATAAAAAATAAAAAAGATGTATTATTTTAAAAGGTATGTGTGTATGTGTCTGCGAGATGTGTCTGTGCCCCGTGCATGCAGACACCCAGGGAGGCCAGAAGAGGGCGTCAGATACCCTAGTGCTGGACTTCCAGGAGGTTGTGAGCCACCTGAAGTGAGCCATGGGAAGAGCTCTTAGCCAGTGTGCTCTCTCTCCAGCGGACTTTCCATTTAAGTTGTGCCTTTTCAGAAGTCCTGCACGTAAGAGCTCTGTAATCTCTGGCCCGGACTCTCTTGACTCTGGGAAGAAGCTGCCACCCATCTTTTCGAAGAGACTGCCATGGAGTCCACTTAAAAAATCCAGGGGGCTTGTCCCAAGCAGAAATGACTGCTGGGTTGAGTGTCACATGCAATTTTATAGCACTGTCGGTGAGGTACAATCCCATCCGGACCTAAGAATATGCAGCTGGCCGGGAGCCAAGAAACCTGCACTGTTCGCCTTGCCACTGGCCACCAAGCCTGCTTCACCACACAGCTACAAGGGCTTTCCAGTTGTTAGCGAGGGTTGCAAGGGGAGAGAGTGCTCAGAATGCTGTGACGGGAGAAAAGGAGAGGGTGGCGGTAAGGAAAGGATCTAGCCCGTGTAGGTGCGGAGAGCCGGCTGGGAAGGCTGATCCACAGAAATCTTTCCGGAGGGTGGGAGAGTGTGAGTCACCTGTTGCTGGGAGTGGGGGTGGGGTGGGGTGTGTGTGTGTGTCTCGGCCACTCTCTGGGACCCACACATGTATGAAAAGTTACAGGACCCGATGATACAGTATAGGACCATCTTGACCAGGTGGCCTCTCGGAGGCAGGAAGGCAGATTTGCCCAGCTACATTCTTGGCTGGGATTAGAGTTGAGTCGTTGACCAGTCCTCCTACCTCCTGTCTCTAAACCTCAGCCAAGCTGTTTAAGTTTATTAGGAGGTGGGGAACATTATTTACCACATCCTTTAAATGGTCCCTATTCTGGCCTCTGTGTCTGCATAGTGGCCCCTTTCCCTCCTCTAGGGGACGCAGGGCACTAGCGACATCCTTCTTCACCTCGTTCTTCCTAGAGGCACCACAGGCTGAGGAAGAAATGAAGGACAACAGCCCAGAGGGCTGTGCTTCCAGGTCTGCAGTGTTCTGAGGATGGCGGACACCAGTGTGTCCTCAGAATACTGCAGACTTGGAAGCACAGTATGTACTTCCCGGTACACAGGGGAGGTTTGACGTGCAGGGAATGTGTCCCACTGTGCAATGCGGCTGTTGAAAAGGACAGTCTCATCCGTCTTACACACAGGTAGTCTGGGCCACGAGAGCTTTGCACAGGGTGCCGTTTCCAGAATGCAGGCTTGCGAAAGTCTACCTGGCCTGCGGTTTTCTTGTGACTCCTGCTGTGGGCTCGTCTGCCTTTCTTCTGGGTCCTCCTGGGGATAAGGAAACTTCATGGCCTCTGAGCATCAGGCCAGAGCTACCCTAAGATCCTCTCTGACTGAAGTCCCCAGGACGACGGAGCCTGGCTCAACAGAAACAGAAAGCAAGGATCATTCTCTGAGCAATTTCCCAGCTTGACTTCCAGGTGGGAAAGAGCCCCACCGCTGGGCAGCATGGCATTCTTGCTGGAGGCCACAAGTGTTGAGTCACAGCCCCCTCTGGTGTCTCAGTCCTTGCTAAGTGTTCCTCCTCGTCCCAGTGGCCAGCCAGAAGCAGCAGATTTGCTGGTCTTCCCGATGGAACCAAGACACACCTGACATCTGTCCAGGTAGAAATAAAGCAGAAAGCCACCACAGGAGGTCTCCAAGAGACCCCAGCAATGCAGTGTGGGAAAGAGGGAAGCCCTGGGTAGAACTGAACAAGGAGACTGCTAATCATCAGTGCACACCTGGTGGCCTCTCCATCATAAGGCAACTGTTTTGAAGCTGACAAAGTCAACGCTTGTTTAGACTTTGGGTAGTTTTCAGGATTTGGAAACATGACTTGAAGTGGGTACTTCGAAGTCATTCACGAACCAGGAGAAAAACAGACCTTGTACCCAAGACAAGCACTTGATTTGGGGGTTCACCATCCCCAACTCATTTTATGTTTACGTGAACTCCTAGCTGTGCAAAGATGAAATCCGCATTTGCTTTGCTGGTCCTTGTCATCCAATCTCAGCTTGTGCCCAGAAGCCTTGAGAACTCTCCATGGCTGGCCAGGGTGGGTTCTCCTGACTAGGAAGGGCCCATGTGTAGGTCCCACCTCTCAGGTCAAGTATGGTGTGGCCTGGAGGTGAGCGGCATTCCTGGGAAAGGAGCTGAGAAGTGAGACAGGTTTGATTGGCAGCTCTCGGCAAAGGCAGAGATGTGCTCTCAGTGAGACTCTCCACAGATTCCTTTCCCTCAGTGAGGGATTCTGGCCGCCTCACCCTTCATAGCCAGGCCCTGTAGACACCGCCCTCAAGGCGCCCAGTGTGTGGGCAGAACCTGGAGGGTCCCCTTGTTGACTCAACGGCTCATCTGCAATCAGGAAATCTCAGGTAGCGCTGTTGCCATGCTTTGGCCGTTGTGAGGGATTTAAGGCCTTAAGGAGGGGGGTTTACAAACATCCAAGGGAGAAAAAAAAAAGAGCTGAAGGGTAGAGTTCTAATACTCAAATAAATTTAAAGATTTGCAGGAACACTGAAGTCAAAAGTCTTCTAAACAATTACTTCTGGGACATGGTGCTCCAGGCTGTGAGGTGGGGTGAAGCTACCCAAAGGCAGGGTACGAGGTGGGGGTGAAGCTACCCAAAGGCAGGGTGCATCTCTTGTTTGCGCCTGGAGGGGCATCTTGATAGGTGTAGCCATGGCTTAGGTGGTTTTTCACAAGTCTGGAGTCTAGAACTCACTGCCTGCACAGAGAGAGGGTTCAGGATCTGGAATTCAGGTAGCTTGTTTTAGGAAGCAAGGTGCCTGTGTCTATGTCTCTCCATCTGGTCTTGGATCCACTTTGTCAAGTTGCTCTCGAGTCAGTAAACAATGGTTCTGTTTTCCAAGGCAATTCCACATCTATATCAACATTCACGGTTTCTCTTTCATTGCCGTATTCTCTCTTTGCACACATTCTGAATCCCCTCTCCCCCACATGGAACGCTTCCAGGGATATCTATCTGTGGTTTAATCAATCTAGGACTCTAGATATCTGACAAAAGTCAAAAATATCCCTGTCAGATTGCAACCAGTGCTGGGGCTCCAGGCGCTGGCTCCCAGCCAGGCAGCCTGTGCTCTCGCTGGCAAGACACGATTTAAAAAAGCAAAGACTTCGGGCAGCTCCAAAGAATGCGTGGTGACAGTTGAGGCTCAGCACTTTCCGGCTGGGTCGCCAGAGCATTCTGGCCTCCCTCCTGTGTCAGGGGAGAAAGAGGAAAGGGATGGTGTGCTTGCCAGCCCCTACCTGGTCGCTGGAACATCAGCACGTTTTGTGGGGAAGTGTGCACGGGCAGTGAGCGAGTCTTCTGGACGGAGCTGTGGGTGCGGCTGGGCATGCTGTTGCTGCCCCCGGGGTTGGCAAACCAGAGGTTCTACGGAGGGACATACAAGAGAGGGGCATTAGTCCAGAACCCCTGGGGAGGGGTGGGGAAGAGCTCCAAGCCGGAACTCAGGAGACAGCTATCCCAGGAGAATTTTTGGAAAGGGCCAGTGCCACCCATTCATGGATTTATAAGATGGTTTAGACTCATTTAATGCTCATTCCCAGGCTTTGCTCTAAGCTAGAGCTTACCCTGGTCACCTTTTCTCTCTCATTACCTCCAAAAGTCTTTTTACTCCACTTGTTGCTTTTTCTTAAAATGGGGGGCGGGTGGGGGCTGTCTTAGAAAAGCTTGTAGCAAACAGTGCAATGAGTTTAGGGCTCTTGTTTGATTTTCTTTTTGAGAGTCTGCAAATTTACTCCATGATGGGGAGAAAAGAAGACTATCAGCAGACCCACAACGCAGCTCACGTGACCTGTGGTGATCTCTCTTAGAACTGAAACAGGGCTCCTCAGACAGGCCCTTCCATTTGGGAGGGAACGCCACCAGTCTCTCCTGGTGTAGCCTTTCTCTTCTGAAGGCACTCCCTCATGAGAACCCAGGTTAGACCTGCTCGAGTGTCCTCTACCCCAAGGTCAACCTCTATAGCCCCATGGGGCTGAGGGGACATTGGGGGAAGGCAGTGCTGGACTCATGGGACAGAGAGGGCACTGTCAATCTTGCAGCAGGGGGCAGCCCCCAAACTTAACCCTGTGGACTCTCCATTGCTGCTGGGACTGTGACAAAATACCTATTTGTCACATTAAAAAAATCAAAGAAAGCTTATTAAATGCCAAGGTCTTCTGGAACCTCATGATGAGGAATGTTGGGGAGGGTCAAAGAGGGAGCAGAAACGGCCCTTGCATGACTGTCTACAGAAACGGCCCCTGCATGACTGTCTACAGAAACGGCCCTTGCATGACTGTCTACAGAAACGGCCCCTGCATGACTGTCTACAGAAACGGCCCTTGCATGACTGTCTACAGAAACGGCCCCTGCATGACTGTCTACGAGGGTCCCTGCGATTAATGCGGTACTAGGCTTTCCAAGCAACAGCCACGGGGTGTTCAGTTCCCAGAGAAACAACACAAACAGTGCCGGTTACCTACAAAGGACGGGCTCCACCATCCCCCCCTCGGTTTAGATCTCCTGGGGGGGGCGTCAGTGTTCATTTTGGAGATTGTCTGGGTTGGGGTCATCCTAAAGCCTCAGCCCCCCGAGCTTGGTCAACCTCCCGGCTCCACAGAGCATAACCGACCTGTCTTCCTTGTTTCATGATGGTGGGGTTGGCAGCGGCATGGCGCTGGTTGGAGCTGACGAATCCACTGGTGCCCAAGAGACCAAGGCGAGCAGAAGGGACATTCCGAGAGGCAATCTGGTACTGTCGTGGGTTCCGTCTGCCCATGCCACCGCCCACGGAGCTGGCTGTCGGGAGGGAGTTGGACTGCCCAAAGCCACGACTGTGAAAGCAAAGGGAAAGGACCCAGAGTCTCAGGCATGCTCTGCCCCACACAGCCCAGCTGCCCCTTGGGGCTGACAGTGCCAATAAAGGGCTAAGATTAAAACTCCATCTAGTACCTAAAAGCGACAGCACATGCTGGATGTTGGAGCTCACACGCGAGACAACCCTATGAAGTAGGCTCCCTAACATTTACAGGGGGGGAAACCAAAAGCAAAAAGAAACCAGAAAGCTGGAGAGTTTTGCGATTGCCACGTAGCCAGCAGGGGGCAGCACCCAAACATGAGCCCAGAAGGGACACCCATATATTCTCAGGCCTTGTGTCATTCTTGTCTCGTCCCCCCCTGTGGATCTGTGCGCGAGGGCATGGTGCCTTGCAAGAAGCCACAAAGCGAAACAGCAGAGTCAGCACCAGAACTGATCTGACTCCGTTCTGGCGCTCCTTCACTGTGCCATGATGCCTCTCTGATCAGGTTGTCTGTAGGTGGCCTTGGATAGACGATGCCATTGAAACACAAGAAAGGACGGGGGTGGGGCGGGGGGCGGGGGCGGGGGTCTCCCTCAGCCTCGGACGTCCCAAGCCCGAGTCAAGGAGTCAGCTTTTTCCACAGTAAACGCTGGGTTCAAATTGGGCACAAGTGAATGAATGAGCCTTGATGCTTCTTCGCCAGAGGAGAGGCCGGTCTGGTGTGGGGGGGGCTGACTCCAGTCCTGCGAGCCCTGAGAGCCAGTGCCCTGGACCTAGCACAGCCTCTCCATCCCCAGGCCCTTCCCGCAGGATGAAACTCAAACTGCAAAGGCTCCGTCCGCTCTTCGGATCCACGCAGGAGACTGCTCCCAGTGGGTCGCATGAGCTCAGCAGAAAAGCACTCATCTCCTCCACCAGCCCGGGTTCTGGGAGGCTTCAGGAACTGGCACATTCTTTCCAAGGGAGTCAGTTGGCTTTAATCGGAGGGTGGAGTGGACTTGCGTTGCAGGCAACGGCCACTAGGTGGAGCAGAGTCGCTTGGTTGCTAAATTGGGGAGGCTTCGCCAAGCTTGTGAGGAGACTGCCGACGCTGACTTAGCTGAGCCTGTGGAGGTACTGGGGGGGGGGCTTCACAACACTCACTTCCCAAGTCAGAAGATGGTTGTGCGTGAATGTGGGGGAGGCGGTGTCTGCGAGGGCAGTGCAAAAGCTCTCAGACTTCCTAAATTTCCTAGGCAGAGAAGGGACGGGATAAATCCAGGCATTCTGTCTTTTTTCCAGGGTTTTGTGGCCAAGAAAAGCATTCTAGATTCCATTCAGAAAAGAAAGGTACTCTTGGCTTCTTGGTCTCTTTATCTCATCGTCTCTTTCCTTACCCCCCCCCCAAACTGTAAGGTTTTTAAACTGAAAATTAGGGTGAGGAGAGCTAAGTGATTTCATGCACCCTCCCCTGTGGAGGAGAGACACGGTGAGGTAACTTGAAGAAGTGGGGGCAAGCGGGGATTTTGGGTCTCAGCTTCTGCAGCGGGAATCTGGGCCACCTGGTGGATAGATGATCAGTATTCTGTGAAGATCCCCACATCCCTTATTTAGTGTGAATAGATTTTTCTCACTTCCCTTTTTGGCTGGATTTTTAAAAAGTTGTTTCATATGCAAAACAGTAGTAGATGAGCATTGCTAAAATGATTTGTCCTTCCATGAAAGCAGCATTGTAGCTTTTACTTAAAATATTTTTTTTAAATTTTTTGAGACAGCGCAAGCTGGCCTCAAACTCCTGACCTTCTGCCGCCTCAGCCACCCAAGAGCAAAGACCACATAAGAAAGTCAGCCCTGGGTCAGGACTGTTTCTAGCAACATCATGTGCTGTGCAGAGGGCTCTGTTAGGGGGCAGTCACCGGAGGAATGGAGAACGCCAAGACTCCCAAGAGTTAGAACTCAACTGTTTGGGGGAGGGGAAGGAAGTCCAGAATACTCCCCGGTGTGTGTGTGTGTGTGAGTGTGTGTGTGTGAGAGAGAGAGTGTGTGTGAGTGTGTGAGTGTGTGTGAGTGTGTGTGTGTGAGAGAGAGAAAGACAGAGAGAGAGTGTGTGTGAGAGTGTGTGTGTGAGAGAGAGAGAGAAAGACAGAGAGAGTGTGTGTGTGTGAGAGAGAGAGTGTGTGTGTGAGAGAGAGAGTGTGTGTGTGTGTGAGAGAGAGAGTGTGTGTGTGAGAGAGAGAGTGTGTGTGTGTGAGAGAGAGAGAGAAAGACAGAGAGAGAGTGTGTGTGAGAGAGAGAGAGAAAGACAGAGAGAGTGTGTGTGTGAGAGTGTGTGTGTGTGAGAGAGAGAAAGACAGAGAGAGAGAGTGTGTGTGTGAGAGAGAGAGTGTGTGTGTGAGAGAGAGAGTGTGTGAGAGAGAGAGAGAAAGACAGAGAGAGTGTGTGTGTGTGAGAGAGAGAGTGTGTGTGTGAGAGAGAGAGTGTGTGTGTGTGTGAGAGTGTGTGTGTGTGAGAGAGAGAGAAAGACAGAGAGAGTGTGTGTGTGTGAGAGAGAGTGTGTGTGTGAGAGAGAGAGTGTGTGTGTGAGAGAGAGTGTGTGTGTGAGAGAGAGAGTGTGTGTGTGAGAGAGAGAGAGAAAGACAGAGAGAGAGTGTGTGTGTGTGAGAGAGAGAGTGTGTGTGTGAGAGAGTGTGTGTGTGTGAGAGAGAGTGTGTGTGAGTGTGTGTATGTGAGTGTGTGTGTGAGAGAGAGAGAAAGACAGAGAGAGTGTGTGTGTGAGAGAGAGTGTGTGAGAGAGTGTGTGTGAATGTGTGTGAGTGTGTGTATGTGAGTGTGTGTGTGTGAGAGAGAAAGACAGAGAGAGAGTGTGTGTGTGAGTGTGTGTTTGTGAGTGTGTTTGTGAGTGTGTGTGTGTGTGTGGTGGGTGTCACTGCACGGTGGGGGGCGTCCTCAAAAGGTTACTCTAAGAGTCGCTGCGACCCACAGCTGGAGTGAACTCTCTGGTCACTCACGACCACTCAGCTTACGGAAATCATTTTGCTTTCTGAGAAAGAACAGAGAACAAATTAAGGTCTCCGTTCTTGTCCTCCTGCTCTTGTCGTCCGCGCCTCTCCTTCCCTGCTTTCCTGAGTCCGATATCCTTTCCTTGCAGTTCATGAAAAGTCTTTGATAAAAATAACATTAATAAGAAGCAATTAATCTAGGATTTGTCAGATAATTTAAGCAGGGGTTTGCCTGCAGTTGCTTTTGTATGGGAGAAACAGTTTTTCAAAACAAATTAACAGTGTAAAAACATCCCAGAGGTAATTCGCCGAGCAGGCTGTGTTTCACGGGTTTGGCATCATCCCTTTGAGCATTCACAATTGGTGAATGGATTCATTCTTATCTAGCCCATAAAAGAGGCCCGTAGGGACTCCGACCTGGCAGACATGGGCCAGCTCTGATCAGGGTGCCTGATGACAGTCTGGAGAAGCTGAGCTCGGTCCACGCTTCTCCCTCAGCCCAGCTGAGGGCAGACAGCATAGTGGCAGGGGCTGAGCTGCTCGTGAGAGGAGTGATGAGCTTGTGAATCGGTTCTTCAACTTCTACTTGGGAATGACTTCCTCCAGGAACGGGGCCCCACAGGGTACAGCAACAGGGCCTGGAATCCTCCTCATCTGGGACACATAGCATTGCTTGTAGAAGCAAGCTTGGCAGCAGCCCAGGCAGTTGAGGCGCAGGCCTGGCCTTGCATCCAGCCCACTGAACAGCCTCGGAGCAGGGGTGACCTGGCAACCCCCAAAGGCTGGGGGTGCTGGTGAGCTGGCAGTGGTATTAATGTGCAGGCACATCCTTCCTGTGCACAAGCCTGACTCTGCCTGGCTCTGCAGTGATGGGGAGTACTGATCTGGTACCCAACACTGGCTAGCGTGGTCCAAATCCTGGGTGTCCGTGTCTATCCATTTTTCTGTAAACTGAGGTTAATAATAGCAGTTCTACTTCATAGGGTTGGTGTGAGTTCCGAATGAATTCCTATTTTTTTAGTGCTCAGATACCACTGGGCATGTGCTAAATAAACGTTTGCTTAATAAATAACAGTGCTGTATGGTGGGATGTGATAAACATCTTAATTTTAAGTCAATGACAACGAAGATGTTTCACAAGCTCCACCCATTTTCTTTAGCCGACAAGGCATGCTTATGCAAATGAGCGCCCCCTCCCGATTTAACAACATTAACTCTTTTTGTACATGCACTGAGAAATGAATTCAGAAGCCGTTAGGTGCAAGGGAAGAAATGAGTATTTGTCTGCTTATGTTTGAAAATGTAACGCAAAACGGCAATTCTGTCTGGAATGGTGGCGTGGTCACTTCCTTCCTCCCAAGACCTCTCCATCAGCCTTCATGCTTAGGTCTCACACACACACACACACACACACACACACACACACACACACACACACACCGCTCTATTTCTATGGTAAACTGTTCCTTCACTTCGAACCTTCCACACACCTGGTTTCTCTAGGTTTATAGTCACACTCAGGCAACGCGTTCTGAAGTGTGACCAGGCTCATCTTCAACTGCATCCAAGAAGCTGAGCTACTATGGAAAATCAAGAATGGTACTGCCCCTCTATTAGACTGCTGCAGCTCGGACCAAAATAGATGAGCACTGGGCTCTTCACCCTGCCACCGACTATAATTAGCTTGTCTGTGGCGTGGAGGGAGGAAAGCATTACGCTTCCACTTAAGGTGCTGGTAGAAAATTCCGCTCAGGTCCCTTCAGAGCCCCCCCCCCCACTTTGTGGTCCGGCATTCGTGAAATCATGAGCTCCTGCATCTGGATACCTATCAGCATTCTGCCCATGTAAACTGAGTTCCAGGTACCCGAATTCAGCCCTTCCCCTGCGAATGTTCCTCCTAACAGCCCTTCTCCCGCCACAGCCTGCTTTAGGCCCCCTGTGATTTGGAACTCGACACGGGTGTCCCCGTGCACAAGCATTGATGCCCGGCCACATTCTCGCCCGGAACGGAGGCAGGCAGCGAGGCACCAGGGAACTGCTATGCCTTACAAAGAGCAAAATCCCAACGTACTTTCTTTGCTGTCGATATCCTGATATGTCTAGAAGGGTTTTCCGAGGGAAAGACCGGAAGAGCTTCTGCACCTGCTGTTTCCATGACAACAATCTTTTTTTCTGCGTCTCTGTAAATGCCTGCAAAAACAAACAGGACTCTTAAGTGGGTGATGCAGCCTGGCATTAGAGGGAAAAACATACAATTAATAAAGAAAAATGCCAGTGTCTCCACAGTAGCCCCCCCCACCTGCTTCCAACCTGGTCCAAACAGCAGTCAGATTAAATCGGAGCCACCTGTGCTGAAGACTCCAGCTATCCGGCATTGGGAGCACCTGGTTCAGGCATTAAGCTCTTGACAACCTTGTTTCCTGGCTGCATATCTGGAAGGCCCTGACCTGTCTTCCCCTCTTACGACTCTTTCCTGGACCCTATTTGTTAACGAAGGATGAGTGGCAAGGTTGATTGTTAGGTAGTCCAGCTTTGTAGAATCCCTGCATTTTCATAATCGATGAAAATCCGAAGCCACTCCAAGAATCAGTTGGCTTGATGATATACGGTGACATGGAGTGGTCCGCAGGACATCAGAGGATGGCCGCATTCTGTGTCTTGGGGCTTTTTTTCCCCCTGAGAGATCTCTAATAAAACAGTCTTGTGCCCTGTGAACAACCCCAGCGCACTAGTCCTGACCTTACCCTTGCCTATAGTTGAGGGAAGAAGGTAGGCCTGATGCCTTCTCGAGTCTTCTAGTAAAATTTAGAGTGCAGGGAGAGATTTTGTGTAGTGTCCGTAACGCAGGTCTACATCGTCTTTACCACACAGCACGCATCTATACTGTCCATGGTATACAGCCTTTGCACTCACCATAGCCGGGGGCTCACATCCCTAATGCAGGGACTCTCACATTCCAGCACATTAAAATCACCTATTGTATGTAGGTGATAGAGCCTCCTCCAGTGCCCCAGAGCATGACTGAATGGGTAATCTAGGTTTCCAGCAAACCTAGATTACAGACAGTACTCTGGTAATTGTGCAGGCAGACCATCGTGGGTTCATGGTGTACCAGAAGGGAATCCATGTCATAGATGAGTCTCCCAGAGATGAGGCTTGGAACACATAGTGTGGGAAAACTGTCTGGTTGGATTTGTTCGCATTAGGAGTGACAGAGAACATTCCCAAGAGGTTTTGTCAGTAAGGCATAGAATCCTTTAAGTAGTAATAAAAAGTTACCTAGAGTTACAGACTAAATGCTCGCTTTCTATAAAGGAAACGGGTTTCTTGAAGATTGAAAAAAACGAATGACAGCTTAATTTTCTCCTGAGGATGCTTAATCTTTTAGGGATGTGAACCCCAGAGAACCTTGTGGATAAAAGCAAAAGGATACCACGCAGGGTAGAAACTCCATCCGCAGCATACAGACCCCTTCTTCCTGGGTGACCTCAGCCAGATGCCACTGAGGATGTTCAAGAGGGACACAGTTAGGTCCCTGTGGTTGTGTGGCAGAGGCTCTGACGGCTGGGGGGTGAGCGTGTGGCTCTCCTCCGTGGCCCTTCTCATTTGTTGGTGATGATCATCATATGTCCATTGATGCACAGATGCTTACAGCCAGACTCAAGGCTGACATTGCTGCCTCATTAATAAAGGCGGGGAATGGGCTCTCTGAGTTTTACACAAGATGTAGCTGTGCTGGCCAAGATGACCTGGGAGATAGTTCGCCCCACTGGGTCTTAGGAAGGCAGATGGTAGGGCTCAAATGTGTGAACACATTCATTAAGTCCTTTTATGGAAGACTTGGTGCTTTCTGGGGGAGTTGAGGAGGGCATTCACTCAAAAGGGCTCTGTGAGCTTGAAATGCATTGGGTGTGGATACTGAAGATGTGCTTAGACAATCCTGCACGTGCTGCTCCCTAACACCCTAACCGGGAGGCTTTGGTTACACACCCTGCTGGGTGATCTGTGTGACTTCCTCGGTGATGACCTCAGCCCTAGCAGCGCAAATCAAACGGCTTCATCATCTTAGAACCATAGAGCCCAGTTGCACTTGAAGAGCAACTGAGTGTCCAAGTCACCAAGGGCTAAGAGGCTGGATGCCCTCCCAAGGATGTCATTATGTTGATGGCATCTCTCATGGTGGCAAACAGCATCTAAGTAGACATAGTGTGGACACCCTCATCCCCAGGACATCACCACACTGCTTGATGGGTACCACGAGAGCAGCTCTTCCCAGCTGGGGGGGCATGCAGCTAGTGAGCTGAAGGTAGGTCACACCTGGTTTTGGGGGCCTCTGGAAGTAGAATTCTCTCTCTACAAGGTAGCACCCCATTGTCAGAAACCTGCTAATGGCTACTTCCCTAGCAGCCCAATGCTCGAGGATCAGGCAGGGAAGGAATATTCTAGGTCTGCAGATTTCCTGGATACCACCAGTCATCCTGCTCAAGTCCTTTGCCCCGTCAGGCTCAGACCAGACTGTCTGGAAAGAGATGGCCACCCAAGTCCTGTAGTTTACCCACTGGGCGAAAAGTCTTAACCCAGGAGAAAAGCCCGTTGCTCCAGAACCACTTCAAGACAGTAGGGCGGGGAAGCTTAGTCCGGTGATTCGGGAATCAAAGTAAATTGGTATCAGAGGTAAAACTCAGAACTTTCTTTCCTTAACTACCCCAGGGTGTCCGGACCTTTCTCTCTAGGAAGGAGGTGTCTCCATTTAGTGAACACCTTGCCCTTTCAAGCCTGCTAAAGACAGGTGGCCCCTGGCTCTGGGAAGGACCCCTGTCCAAGGATCAGGTTCAAACCCTGCCACCCCTGCTGCATCCACGGCCTCCCAGGACCCCCGTCCAAGGCTCAGGTTCAAACCCTGCCACCCCTGCTGCATCCACGGCCTCCCAGGACCCCCGTCCAAGGCTCAGGTTCAAACCCTGCCACCCCTGCTGCATCCACGGCCTCCCAGGACCCCCGTCCAAGGCTCAGGTTCAAACCCTGCCACCCCTGCTGCATCCACGGCCTCCCAGGACCCCCGTCCAAGGCTCAGGTTCAAACCCTGCCACCCCTGCTGCATCCACGGCCTCCCAGGACCCCCGTCCAAGGCTCAGGTTCAAACCCTGCCACCCCTGCTGCATCCACGGCCTCCCAGGACCCCCGTCCAAGGCTCAGGTTCAAACCCTGCCACCCCTGCTGCATCCACGGCCTCCCAGGACCCCCGTCCAAGGCTCAGGTTCAAACCCTGCCACCCCTGCTGCATCCACGGCCTCCCAGGACCCCCGTCCAAGGCTCAGGTTCAAACCCTGCCACCCCTGCTGCATCCACGGCCTCCCAGGACCCCTGTCCAAGGCTCAGGTTCAAACCCTGCCACTCCTGCCCCACCCAGTAGCCTCCAAGGACAGGTATGTGCTGCTGACAGGGACTGATCCTGAGCTGTGGAAAATTACCCAGCCAATAATCAAAGATTTGAATAATGCTTTCCCTTCCAGAGCACAGTGCAGACTTGTGTACCCTGGCACACAGAAAGACCTGCCATGACACTTGCTCTGCCCGTGAAGGAATGAACAGAAGATGGGAACCACAGCGCGAACTCTTTGCACTAAGCACTTGTGGGCGCCAGAGAGGAAAACGGGAAAGAAAAACTCGAGGCAGGGCTCCCAGGGAGGGCACAAGGGTTGGGAGAAGGGTCGGGGGAGGGCCAGGTTAGACCAATCCGGAGGCATGTGTACAGTTCCACGGAGGCACCTAGACTTGTTGCTTGGTCTCTTGGGTCCCAGTAATTTGGGCTGGGGTGAAAAGCACCTTTTTCTCTTAACCCTAGAAGCCTCAGTGCTGAGGGCGGGCTCGGGAAGGGAAGACAAGTTCCAGGTTTCTCTTAACCCTAGAAGCCTCAGTGCTGAGGGCGGGCTCGGGAAGGGAAGAAAAGTTCCCGGTTTGCCTCTACACACACAGCATAGCTCTTCTCCTGAGCCGCTCACCCCAACCCATCCACAATGTCCTCCTCCAGTGCACAGCACTGGCGTCTACCTGAACACCAATTTGGGTCCCTAGGAGTTGTGTCTTTTTTCCTAAAGATTTTCTATTTTTAGTTATGCATAGTGTGTGTGTGTGTGTGTGTGTGTGTGTGTGTGTGTGTGTGTGCAGGGGATCTGCATGTTAGCATGCAAACATTCATGTGGGTGCCCGTGGAGGCCAGGAGTGGGTGTGAGGCTCCCTGGAGTTGGGATGAAAGGTAACTCAGCTACCTAAAACGAGGACTGGGAATCTAGCTCAGGCCCTTTGCAGGGGCTGCTCTTGAGCACTGAGCCATCTCTACAGCTTCAAAAGTCTCTAGCACAGTGCTGGGGATGGACTTCTGGTCTAGCACAGTGCTGGGGATGGACTTCTGGTCTAGCACAGTGCTAGGGCTGGGCCTCTGGGCTCAGCTTTGAGACAGTCCTTTCTGCTGCTGGGGACCAAGAGCCCTGGGTTCCAGCTCTAGGTTGGGCGCCCACCATTTCACACCTGTGAGTTAGTTCTGAGGCATGAGAGGGAACCTCACCTGAGGTCTTAGCATCATGGGAAATGACCCCACAGGTTCATGTGTTTGAACACTTAGTCGCAGCTGTCGTGCTGTTTTGGAAAAAGTGGCCTCAGTGGTTGAAGTGGGTGCTGGGGGGGCAGGCTTTCTAGATCACAGATCCATGCCAGTTCTCACCCGACTTCCCCGTTTCCGGGTGTAGTGCTGAGATAGAAACAGGAGGGACAGTGCAGGCTCTCCGCCAGCAGAAGCTTCTCTTGTCTCCCACACTTCCCCACATGAGAAACAGAGTCTGGGAGTTGTTTTTACTCAGGGATTTGATCACAGGAAGAGAAAGGTAACCTGTAGACCTATTTCCCCCAGCACCCTCATGGCGTAAGCCTCTTGGGCCAGGAACTGTGCCTAGCTGCTTCCTAAAAGGGCACAGAAGTCTTGCCTTTCCTTTTTTCTGTTTTTTTTTTCCTAGTAAAAACAAGTGTAACATCGGGATTGCCACTAGCAAAGGGTTAGTTGGGACTTACAGTGTGTAGTCTTGTTGCTCCCTGAAATAAACACATAATGAAGGCCTGCAGTATGGGCTTCAGCCATTGTTAGGCAGGGCCTTGTTGCACTGGAGTTATTAGAGAAAGTTATTTTTAAAAAGAATATATATATATATATGTATATATATATATATATATATATATATATATATATATATATATATATATATACCCATGCTCTATCTGCACATTCACTGGTAGGCCATAAGAGGGCATCAGATCCCATTGTCCCATTGTAGATGGTTATGAGCCACCATGTGGTTGCTGGGTTTTGAATTCAGACCTCTGGAAGAGCTGCCAGTGCTCTTAACTGCTGAGCCGTCTCTTCAGCTAAAATCCTAGGACTTTGGAGTAACTGTTTCAGAAAATGGCATGCCCGAGTCCACAACCTAGACATCTGATTAATTACTGTGCTCACAGTGGCAGAGGGCTCTGGCTGGGCCAAGGTGCTACACGAGTTCATGTTGCCTGGAAAAGCCACTATTGAGATGAGAGTCTTGGGGGAACAGATTGACTGGGATGGAACCCCAGGAGAATGAGAAGTGGACATGATGTTGATAGCCTCAGACCGCAAGAAGGAGGGCTCCAAAAATGACAAGAGACACTTGTGCCACTGGGATATTGAGTGGGAAGGCAGAGAGAAACCAGGACTCCAGGCTGGCCATCTCTTGTTTCTGGGACCCTTGAACTTGGGGTTCTGACTAGCAACAAGCACGTGTGAGGGTCTCTAGCCTTGTCACCCACACATCAGAGTCCAAAAGAGACTTCACTGCCCTACTTATCTGGCCTTGTGTTTTTCCTGATCCGGATCCTTTACCTATTACCCACAGAGCCTCTGATTGCCTGGGTCTGAGCCCCAGCTGCATTTGCCTATGCATTGCTGAGGAATTGCTGCCACCCTAGTTGCTCCCAGGATTCTTCCAGGCGTTTATGTGAAGACTGTACTCAGTCTGTACCCCACCTGCCTCCATCTCCTTCTGAAGGTCAGATGGCAAACCCAGGTGCCACAACAACCACCAATCCAGACATTCCCAGCGGCCATCAGTACCCCCCCCCGTCCCTTTTTTTGTGAGTGCTTCTCTCTCTCCTTCTCTCTCCCAGTTTCCCCCATTAAAAGACACTATTTGTGATCACACAACGGGAAGAAGACCCCACCGTGGAGCCGCGTAGCAGCGCTGGGAGGGAGGTCACCCCAGTCATGTCACTTATTATTCTTCTGGAGTTTGAGGTTCTTCCCAGGTGTCCCCAGACATCAGTGCTCTCTGTCTGGTGAACTCTGATGCCAAGGGGGCACACATGCAGAGTTTCAGTTAGGGGCGGCCACAGCCTAGTTCTGCCGAAATTGTTATTAATGGCCACGCACTTGTCAAAATCAAGTTTGCTGGAGACCAAAATGATTGCATCGCAGAAACTCTGAGGAGCATGCCTAAGCAACGAGAGAAGCAGGTGTAAATCAGTTGCTACTCACCTCATGAACGAGACACTTGTCTAAGAGCTGTAGATAGGAACTTATATTTTCCTCATCAGGTCTGGACACCAAGAGCTGTGTGCACACTGTGAATTGAGAAAAGATGAATCAGAACAGCATATACGGCTCCAGCCTCCGGGATCAGTCTCTTTCAGAACCACGACCTCGTGTGGAACGTGTGCCTGTGACGTTACATAAGGCTCACAAAAAAACACAGGAGGATCATTCCACTGAAGTCAAACGCTCAGTTGCCTCGGGAGCCCTCATCCCAGAAACTCCTTGGGTTTGTTCCTGTCATACCATTCTATATTAAGCCCTCACACGCAGGCCTGAAGACAGACGCTTTGTGAGAAGAAGCAGAGGTCTCAGGTTCTGCTTTTGCAGGTGGTTCTGAGTGAAGGAGCTTCAATAAGGCTTCTGAGGCCTCTGCCACAGTGGGGGAGCAATCCCTTTTTATGAAGGAGCCGTGCGCCTCTCACTAGGTGGGAAGGCAGGGTGTTTGTGTGTGGAAGAACGGGGCTGCTGCCACATTTCGGCTGTGAAGCATGTAGGCGTGCACGGAGCAGAAGGAACCTGCCATTCAGTCATTAGCAGGGTTAATCTCAATGCGATACACACTTAATCCGCACATGCCTTCACTACATACTCAAGCATGTGCCAGCGGGCAGTGTTTGTCTGTGGGCAGAGGACACATATGTACCAGGTCTATTTGCTTGATTTCTTTCATTCTCTCTCCTCTCTCTGTCTCTCTGTCTCTCTGTCTCTGTCTCCTGTCTCTGTCTCTTTCTCTTGACAGGGTTTCTCTGTGAAGCCCTGCCTGTCTTGGAACTCACTCCGTAGACCAGGCTCACCTTGAACTCAGAGATCCACCTGCCTCTGCCTCCCAAATGATGGGATTAAAGCATGCACTACCACACCAACAATGTACTAAGTTTCTTATGACCGTGTTCCCAACCCACCCTGACCTTGCCATAAAGGCCACCTGCAAAAGGAATCAGAATTGGGTATCCGTCCAGCAAAGCACAACCAAACCTGAAATCTGGGGGTCAGATTTCACCCCTTCCCCTCCCAACCATCCTGACACAGATCCCCACCAGCATTGTGTCGCTAAACACAGGCTCTCAGAGTAACAGTGTTTGCAACAAAAGCCTGGGAACAACCTCAAGGTCTACCCTTGGGGGAACCTTGTTAAATAACTTGAGATTTGTACACGTGGCGGAACAGGGAGCAACCTTAAAAGAAGGATGCTGCTCTTCATATCGACAGAAATATGCAAACATTTAACGTCTATTGGACGTTCAGGGGAGAATCTTAGAACCTGTGTGAAGATGCCCAGGTGTGTACCGTGCTAAAGGTTCTGAAAGGACAACCCCGCATTCAGCAGTAGCCACTCCTCGGGAGGAGCTGGCACGGCTTGGCAGGAGCAGGATGGAGGTAGCTGGTTTTCACTCCCTGCCGTCTAGTTTATACGGGGTATGCCGAGCATCAGTTGGGTAGTGGTTCTCACACAGTGGTCACATCGTCAACAGAGGTTGTGCTGTGCAGTGTCATCTCCCAGGGCTGAGCTCCAGTATGATCCCTTGTATACAGGGGTAGGAGTACGGAGCATGTACAGGTAGATTTGCTGGCCTGGGTCTTTCCCACGATTCAACAGAGCTGAGGGGTAGGAAGCGGTTCAAAAGGCCTGTTCAGGCCAGCTAGTCCCCACCCCTGACCTGGGAAGCCGTGAGTTACCACCACATCAGCTTTTAAAGGTCTATTCATCCACAAGGCACAGGGATCCACTTCTGCGAGTGAAAATTTGGTTCTTTAAAGGCAAAAAAAAAAAAAAAAAGGAAAGTACTAGCATTTACCACATTCCCCCCCACCCAATAATCAGAAAGTATTGTGCAGCACCTCAAGCACAAATTATTCAAGGTGGTGCCTTTTCAAAGATGTGGCTGGAAAGGTCCACCTGCCCGGAAGGCAGAGGGAGTGCGGGCAGGGAGGTGGTGTGGCCCACAGGACCCACTTAGCCCTGTCCTGCCCTGAGGACACTGCGCATTGGCCATGGCTATGGAGCTCGGGGTCCGGCTTCAGGCTGTGTGTGTCTGGGCCACTCTTCACCTCGTGCACGGGGCTGATCGGGTCCCCACCACCAGTCAGGTCCTGTGTACCCTGTGGCTACTACAAGCGGCACCGGGTTGACGGGGTTTACAGTCACGCAAACAATGGCCGCAATGAAGCTGAGTTGAGATGAGGAGACTAAGGGGGCTGCAGGAGGGTGTGAGATGGGTACCACACGCAGCCCAGAGGTCCTGCTAGGCTGCCTCAAGCACCGGAAGACTTGGCTGGCACTCAGAGGACCAGGGAGCAGAGCAGAGGTGCTGAAACTGGAGCTGGGGGGGGGGATGGGGGATGGGAGGGATGGGGGGAGGTATTTCAGTCAAAGCTGTCACATAGAGACGTGCAGGTTGTGCACTGAGTAAACCGAGGGGCGGGACCACAGTCCTGCACCCACTCAGAACAGGCTCTTGTTTTCTAAGTCTGAGGCTCTGTCAGGCTAGTAGGGCTCTGGCCCCAGACACGGGGAGCCTAAGTGCAGTCATCGGGGAGTGAGAGAGCTCATGAGCTTCTGGAAACAGAGTCTGTCTGAAATGGAGAATGGAGGTGGTGAGTGAGTGAGTGAGTGAGTGAGTGAGTGAGCGAGTGAGTGAGCGAATGAATGAGTGACTGAGTGAGTGAGTGAGCGAGTGAGTGAGTGAGTGAGCGACTGAGTGAGTGAGCGAATGAATGAGTGAGTGACTGAATGAATGAGCGAGTGAGCGAATGAATGAGTGAGTGAGCCAGCGAGCGAGCAGGTGCCAAGTGAGTCTGGCTTGGGCGCTGCCAGTGAGGCGAAGGGCAGCATCCTATGCAATTCAGTTGTGCTCTGCCTGGAGCTCCAAGGTCTCCTGGTAACTATGGGGGTGGGAGGCAGAGAGGCATTTCTCTTCTCTGAAACGGGGTATTCAGGGTTCTCCTAAGTCACCTAGGAGGACCGCGGGTGTACCAGCCTTTGGTACACAAGAATTATTAAGCAACCACAGGCCAACGGCCCAAGGCTACCAGAGCATCCGATGAGGAAGATGGCAGGTGAAGGGGGTGTGAATAGAGCAGCTTTGCTCTACGAGTTGTCCAGGCATGTCCACTCTGACTGAATTACCAGGTGACTGGGAAGCCCCAGAGCATGGGGACTCTGCCACTGCTGCCTTGGAAGGCGTCAGTGGTTGGATGGGGTTTTGTACTCTGGAGTATCATTTCCTGTGTCTGTCCCACCTTCTTCCCGGAAGGTTCGAAGCCCAATAGGTGCCATACCGGAAGGGCTTAACATGGTAGAGGGGTCCACAGGCTGGACTGAGACCTCCCATGGGAAAACCTCTTGCTTCTCTAGGGGTGCTAATGTCACTTATGGGGACAGGAAGTGCATTTAGCTCTCCCCCAGGACTCTTGGCTCTGGCTAGGGCTCCCAGAGAGAACAAACAGTACCTTTCCCCATGACTCGTGTGAATTGCCCGGGGAGGTCCCCCTCTGGCAGAGGGGCAACAGCCAGCTCCCCATCGCAGCTGCTCAGCTGGGGTGGTTGCAGCCCACCGCTGGCGCCAGCTGAGGCGCTGGCTGTGACGCTGTTGGCCACCGTGGCACCGTCTTTGCAGTCGGTGCTAGGATTCTCCGGGCCCATCAGCGAAGGCTCGTGGCGGCGCGCCTCAGGCGTGGTCCTGGGAGAGCTATAGGCCTTGATGGGCGTCAGGATCATCTGATGCAGCTCCTGGAGGGGGGTGCGCAGGCTGCCCCCTTCGATGATGTCCTGGATTAGAGAGAGGGGACTTCAGCGAGTTCCAGGGCTACTGTCCCCCTCCAGGCCCCTGCTCCCTGCTCCCAGAGATGTCCCCATACAGGGCAGTGCAGGGCAGCCGGAATTCATCATAAATGAGGACTCAAGGAACTTTTTAGCAGGGGAGAGATGGCTTTTAGAAGAAGTCTGAAGAAAAACATGTTTAACGTATAACAGAGCTGATGGACATACAGTCGTATGTGATACACACATGCCTGAGGCTCCGCAGATGCTAAGAGGATCTGAATCCAGATCCCAGTGCCCATGTAAAGACTGGTCTCAGCAGTGCACACCTGTAATCCCAGGATTGGTGAGAGACAGGCTCCCTAAACAGCTGGCCTAGCAGAATCAGTTAGCTCTGGGTCAAAACATGAATAAAACAGAGTGAGGAAGATACCTGAGGCCAGCTGTCAATCTGGTCTATCCCCCCACACATGCACGGATGCTCACACACACACACACACACACACACACACACACACACACACACACACACACGCACATTACTTGAGTGCATTCCCATGTATACACTCACAAACATAGGTTACTTTGTGCAAACATTTTAATATTCTGGGCATTACTTATTAGAAAAAGAAATCAAAGTGGGTTCCGGTAGGGATGGTGGGATTTGGACAAGCCTAGCTGGCTTGGCTCCTGGCTAGGGTCATCCTGGTGGGAGGGGTAGGACGGCCCCTTGTCACCATTACCATGTAGCTCCCAATACTCATGCAGTTCTGCTTGATTCTCTCTGGGACCTAGAAGGGACACTGCCTTCCAGGGCCCTGATTACAAACGAAGCACTTAATATCCCGAGAGCCCAGATTAGCGAGAACATGATTTAAAAAGCTTGACACACAAAAGCCCAAAGCATTTCTAAGATACTCTTGTGCCAAGAAAACGGCTTGATGGTGTTAATGAATGCAGACTTGAGGAACACAAGTACTTCTGACCCCAGCCTTCCCAATCAGTGGGCCGGACAAAGGACAGCCATCAGTGACAGGCGTGAGGTGCGCCCCAGCTCTGAAAGGCAGCGGACACCAAGCCAAGCTCTTTCACTGGCGGAAGGCGGCTCTTTGGGTGGGCTGTGTGTGTGGAAACGGAGCAAGAATCGCTATTTGGCCTAGTTGCCACAAGCTTTATTTACGGAGGAAGTGAAATTCTAACTGGCCAACTAGAAATATGCTAACCCTGCTCAGAGCCACGTATAGTTTAAGGTGAGGAGAAAGTCTACCTGCCTCTGCTCCCCAACCCTTGGTTTCTGGATACCAGTTCTCCAGCCTTGGCCTGAATCACACAGTCGTGGACAGCACCGCCTAGGACAGGGCATCCATTTGCCTCTGAGAAGAGGGCTTCAGGGGCGAGTCAGCCTCCTTGACTGTGAAAACCGTGGTGTGAGGGAGCAGGGGACCCTCAGCCTGTGCTCTTCACTGTTCCCGACCTCCCCTGGGCATCAGCATGGAGCTGACATCCCCGCCTTGGGCCTTGACTTGATCTGAGCAAGGGGCCAGGCCGGGGAAAGCACACTGGCTAAATTAGCCGTGCTCAAAAATTAGCCGTGCTCAAAGATAACCTACTCCTTCCTCTCTCGAGACAACCACCCAAGAGGCGCTTGTACTGCAAAGACTTCAAGCACCTGCCCAGCACGTCGCTGAAGAGGAGGAGGGGAAAGACAGTGAAGAAACGTGCCTCTGCAAGGGGGGGACAGGTGTGGCGGGCCAGGGGTCACACATATGGTCTCGCCATGCCATCCCAGTGACCAGTGTCACCCAGGTGGGCAAGTGCATCTGAGACGCCGTCAATTGCCACAGAGCCCCTCTGGCTTGCTGCACACGGCTCTGTACTTCACGGTGTGTGCAGGAGGGAGGTCTTGGTTCTACTAAGAGTGAGTCGATGCAGATACATCCTAACTTCAGCTCCTGTGTTCATCTTCTATAGGCGTGGGGAAGCAGCCACACCAAGAAATGAAACCATGAGAAACTGAGGAGATGGCTTTAGTTGGTAAAAGTGCTGGTTTTGAAAGCGGAAGGACCTGTGTGCAGTCCCCAGAACTTACACCAAAAAGTAAATAAAAATAAAAACCCAGGTGTGGTAGTCCATACTCGTGGTCCCAGAACTGAGGAGACAGAGACAGGCAGATCCTTGCGGCTTGCTGGCTGGCTAGCCTAGCCTGTTTGGTGAGTTGCAGGCCAGTGACAGACCCTGCCTCAATGAACTGTGACCATCAGGTGACATTCCTGATCTCAGCTGAGTACCCAGAGTGAGAAGCAAGCCAGGAGTCAGTCTGAATGGAACTCGATCTCGATGTGTTCTCCTTTAGCTGTGGGAATTAATTTTTCACACTGAAAGGTCTCTATTGATCCTTCATGCCTCCCATGTAATCCTACATTCTAAATAAAAAGGCAAAATGAAGCTGTCCAATGACCCTAGCTCACAGCTACCAAGTAAGCATGTGTCTGCAGGCAGGTGACAGGAAGTCAGGCCTATTGGGTGGCACCCCAGAGATATCTCAGGGGACAAGCAGGAATGAAACTACAGTGACATCAGCCTACCACTGGCCTCCAAGGCCTTCAAAGGAGGCTGGTTTGGCATATTTTTTGAGCATATGATAACAAGGTATAAGCCATCTGAAAGAGAGTTTGGGGCAGCCACAATGCTCCAGACATGTCCCTGGCCCCATCTTTCCCTCCAGGTGGAGATAATTTCAAGCTTTCATAATATGTGGGGTTCCTGTTTCTACCTAAATCTGTCCCCTCTCTTCCTCCATCCACCAGTCAGCAGCTGAGCTCAACAGCAGCTGGGTGCTGAGCTATGTTAGAAACATAAAAACAAGTCCTTATCCCTCCCCTGAGAGACTCAATGTTCCTCAGACTCATATGACAAGATAGTATGAGGTCAGGGGCTCAGGGCAGAGTGAGCCCTCTGGGTTTCACAATCTTTCTTTTCTCTTTCCCTCTCTCTCCTCCCCATCCCTGTCCCCACCTGGCGTGGGTGCGTGCGTGCGTGCGTGCGTGTGTGTGCGTGTGTGTGTGTGTGTTTTGCATTACTGGACAAGACCAGCAAACAGTGTGAGGGACAATAGGATGAAAGGAAGTTTGCCAAGAGATGAAGGGAAATGGTTTTCCAGGGCTCACACGAAGCGGCTTGCTAAGGAGGTTAGGCTCCTCTGAGCTCCGTTTTCTCAGAAGAATCCTCTGTCCTGATTGCCTCATGAGGAGGTTGTTGTAGGGCCAGGTGCAAGGGTGTGCACAAAACCTCGCTTGGCTGTATCCATCAAATGTTCCTTGCTAGCATAAGGCATTATTACCTGGAAATACTTATTACTCAATACTACCAAGTTGAGCTACTATTTCTCTGCAGTAGGTCCTAAAAGCAGGGTCACAGATGGCACTCCAAAAGGCCAAGGTCTGGAATGTCTAGAGAAAAGGCATAGACACCTAGAGAAGCAGTTTTCTCTCTGAGTAGGAATGAACAGAACGTGTGTGTGTGTGTGTGTTTGCGCGCGCGCGTGTGTGTGTGTGTGCGCGTGCGCATGAATGCATCTCCCAGCTCTTTGCTCCACATCAAGGTTGTAGGCTCAGACAACGATTCTGTCTCACAACCTGGGGTTGTGCTGAGAAGGAGGGATGATGTATAAAAGCACACGGGGACACTTTCCTTGTTAAATGCTAACACTGGAAAAAATGTCTTCCATTCTGCATTTCCTTTGTCTCCTTTGTCTCCAACGGCTCATGGAGCCCGCGACTCTGTGCTTATGCCTTGTCACACAGTCACGCACCCGGTACCAGGCTTTCTGCTTCGTATCTCTCCCATTCTCCTGAAACCTTTTCTCACCACGACTGTGGTGCCCAGATGACTGCCGGTGCAGAGGGGATGCCCAGTCTTCACAGTGTTCATGGAGCTTGTTGGGAATCTCTGTCTCCCTGTCTGGTCCCTTGAAGCAGGGCTCACAGCTCAGCCTGTCTTACCACAAGGCCCCCTCTGACAGCACCCCTTCAGCTCTTGTCACTCAGCACACACTCTTGGGAACACCCGCGTCCAGTTACTCAGAGTTCACTCACAGCTGAGTCGTGTCTACCATGTCTAGGACTCTAAATATGCTTTCTGGCTACCGTCTTGCCATTTCCACCTTGGTGTCCCACAGCAAACTCAACTCCCTTTCTCCCCAGGCCCCCAATAAGTCCTATGGTTCTGTCCCCAAATGCCACTTCATCTGACCCAAACAATCTAACAACTTTTGGGCTCCCTCTCCATGACTTCTCCATTTCCACCTTCTTTGTGCTGGGGGCGGGCACGTTGCAAGCCCTCAGCAGCATCTACCAAGGTGTCTAGGGAAGTTCTCTCTCTGCCCTCAAGGATGATACCAATCACTCTGAGTTGTGAGCTCAGCAGCTACTACATCTTTCTGTCCTAGCGCACATCCCAAGATGCTCCGGGGTAGGAACCACGTACCACTCACGGTTATCCAGCAAGGATGGGCGAAGGGTATCCTAACATCTGCTTAGCAAGCATGGAGTAACTGAATGGAAGGGCTTGGATCATGCAGCCAGCAGCTTCCACTGATTATGAACTAGCTACGGGCGGGGTCCCAGCTATCTCCTTAGAAATGTGGGTTCTATGTGAGGTAAGAATGCCAGAGGCAGGCAGGGGCATGGTGATGACATTTCCAACAGCGTCATCAGCCAAGGTTGTGAGAATGCCTTAGCTGAATTGCTGGGCCACCACCTGCAGCAGGTGGCTAACAGTCCCCTTCCTACAACAGCAGGAAAGTTTTCTGGGGGTCAGAGGAGAGCGTCAGGGGCTCAGTCCTCAAGGCTGATCTCCTGGAGGGACAGCTGAGCACTCGAGATATAAGCCCACTCCAGGTTAGCTTACACGGTCGTCTGACTGGCATGGCTTTCCCTTCTCTAGGAAGGCAAAGTGAATGAACTTGCTTTCCTCTTGCTCAGTTGCAGCCATTGCACATTTGGCATCTCCGTATCTTTTCCATTTCAGAAGACTGCGGAGGAAGCATTTTTGTGTAGTCAATGTAATTCTAGGTATAATTCTAGGACACAGAATAGCACTGCCTTAACTGATGCTAAGTCAGAAGAAAGTGACCCACCCACCCACCCACACACACACACACACACACACACACACACACACACACACACACACACACACACACACACACACGGCCGTCAGCTCAAGGGTGAAGGCAAGAGGGAGCTGTGCTTCCTCATTCACAGAAGCTATTAATGAATTCCTAAAGGATGTTCCAGAAACGAGAGGGAACGGGCTTACAATATAATCTTCATTCAAAACTCTTTGTGTAGTTTCCAATGGACAACGAGTAAATTGACTTTTTGAATGTTCTCCAAAAGAGAACAGTTTCTTAGATTAAAATAGCTATAGTCACTCTGTTAGACAAGCTGCTTGGCAGAAGAGCTGGCGTAAAATTAAGAACAACACCCAAACCTCAGGTTTTGGTGGAGAGCTTGCATGTAATGTGTAATTCCCTTTGTTTATGGGTATGCTTTCATCAGGGTGTGCATGTGAGCAGCTCCTACATACCTGCTATGAAGAGACTTAAAAACTTTTTCCTGATGCATTTTATATGTCTATTCTCCAATATAAATGATAATACCTCATGGTACATAGTAAATGCAACTTAGCATGGCATCCGTAACAGCCATCACACATATTATCTCCGTGAATAACTTTAAAAATTCCCACTCCATTAAAATGCTTGCTTTAGGAACTTGCTGGAACCCTGACTTGCTTAGTGCTCCTTCCCTTCCCCAGGGCTCCCCGGGTCTACTAAGAGATTCACATTCACAATTTACAGTTTGTGTCGGCAGCTAGTGGGACGCCAGGCATCTGTAAGCAGGTAGCATCACAAACAAGGAACTTTTGCTAGTCTGCAGGCGTCTTTTGTTTCACGAGAAAAATCAGCGCAGAAAGGAACTTAGAATCCCGACTCACTTGTCACTCCAGCTTGACGTCGGGATTCACAGTTGCAGTTTGTTTTTTGATGCTGCATGTTTTTGTGGTGGTGGCCATCTGACTCATGGATATGCATCCTGCTGTTAAGTCCAAGTCTGAAGTCAACTGTATCTGTGCCAGTACTTTCAATGACCCCCTTCCTGGAACCTGAAGTCTACCTGTCTATGTCTGTCACTCCTGGATGACTTTCTCTAAACCAGACGCCGAGGGTAGGTAGCAGGAATAGGCACGTTAGCATTTCCTGTGCTACTGTGTCAGCGCCAGCCTTTACTGTACCCCACCAGGCACCCCACCAGGCTCTGGGGCTGCCTACAAGGCAGAGGTGACGGATGCGCCGAGAGAGCACCGGCTTCACTTCACTCCAGGCAAGGCTCGGTAAGTCACTGGCGGCTTGGGCCCAGAGTAATTAGTTCATCACAACATCAGGACCCAAGGAAGCATGAATAACCAGGGAGTCACGTGGTACTCTAGGGTCTAATAAGTGACAGTAAACCAAGTTTCTTTGGTCTATGTTTCCAGGAAGAAGGTGGCAATGTCCCCTGAGCCAGTTGCTCACTTACCCTTTCCAAAGACTTCAGCAGATTTTGTCTTTCTTTGAGCTTCTGAATACTGATTACAATTTTGTGTCTTGCACCTTTGGTAACATTCTGTAATTGAACGCAAAAAAATTTTTTTTCAGAACATTTCATTTTCAAGAATCAGCTTAGAGACTCTCAGGGGCTATGTATTGTTTTGTCTTTTTTGTTCCTACATGTTCACAGGCTGGCCAATATGCATTTCTCTCTTGTGGATACCACTGTCTTAAACCTCTCCTCAGTAAATGTACTGACTCCATCTGGCTGCAAGCTCACCCACGACCTTTAGGACAGAGAGGTATAGAATAGCCGACTAGCCCACCCAACATGAGATTTCTTCACCATCTTAAGAGAGAGTGTGTGTGTGTGTGTGTGTGTGTGCGTGCGTGTGTGTGTGCGTGCGCGCACGCAATAATTCAGACACTCCTGTCCCCATATTACTTCAGTCCCTCTTGTTTTCCTGGAGACCCCATTTTCTTGTTCGTGTGTGTGTGTGTGTGTGTGTGTGTGTGTGTGTGTGTGTGTGTGTGTGTGCGCGCGCGCGCATGCGTGCTCGCACGGTAGTTCAGACACTCCTGTCCTCGTATTACTTCAGTCCCTCTTGGTTTCCTGGAGACCGTCCTTCCTTGTTCTCTGCTTTCTCAACGCTTTCCTAACCCTGCACATCTGCAGAAGCCATGAAGCCCAGTGCTGCCCACATGCACCACCGCACAGGGAATTCCTGTGAAATTTGCAACCTTCCCTTTTCTTCCCATTATTAAGAGTGGAATTCACTTCACTCCAGGTAAATGTGCGGAGTTGTGGATTTTATTTTAAACTGGCCGCAGCAGTTAGTGAGACGGTTTCATTATTGCCTTGTTGATGATAGATACTGCACATTTCCCAGGAAAGGGACCTTTTCCTAACCAGGTCTCTAAGGCAAATTTCTGGGGATCTCTGTTCTGGTGCAACCATTCTATAATTCCTCCTAACCAATAGAGGGACAAGAGGGACAGTGGCATCTCCTCTGGAAGCACTGGGGATGTATCTCCATGTAGCTGCAGTTTTCAGATCAAATGAATTCAATTATTTTGAAAAGCTTGTGTCAGGCTCTCACACTGCCCTCTATGTCAATTCTTTCCTTTTTCTTTCTTTCTACTTTCTTTCTTTCTTTCTTTCTTTCTTTCTTTCTTTCTTTCTTTCTTTCTTGTTGAACAACTGATGACTTGGATTCTCAACTTTGACCTAAACACAAATTGCTCTTTGAAATAGTTCCCAGCAACCCCTGGGATCCAAGAAGTGGTGGGAGAAATGTTAGGAAGTTGAAATTAGTGCTTTTCACTCTCTGAGAATGTCCAGTGACTCCGGGCTTTGTCTCGCTCTCAATACTGGTATTTAGCCAGGCCTGCAGCGGGGGGGGGCAGAGGTACCGAGTAAGCAACGGGAAAGTCAAGGTCGGCAGGGACCAGCCAGACCGCACCTCAGATGCTACAATCTCTCCTTCCTGTAGGAGAAATATTAACTCATTTAGACCACCATTTTCTTCAAATTATTGCTCAAAGGAAACTGGGGTCAATTTGAAACTTGCAAACAGCACCAGGGAAACAAGGGCATCCATTAGATCTGTTGGCTAGAGCCTGGCACGGCAGAGACATTCTTAGTTTCAGGAGCGCCGTTGCCTGGTCTTTGGCATTCACACTTGGGGGAAGAGGCCGAAGAAGGAAAAGGGAATTCTTCCCTCTTATGGCTTCAGAAGGGAATAAACTCTGAGATGTGGACATCTCACCCTCAATCATTGTCCCATGCTATCTGAGGTGGTTAGAAGAAAATATTTTAAACAATTTACTTCAATCTCGACTAAGACCAGCGTGAGTTATTCTGGAAAAGTATGGTAGAGTGTGTGGTGGATATGTGGCTAGATTGGATAAGCCGACCAGGAATCTGTCCTACCCAAACAAGTCCTGGCTTGGTGTAGGGAAGAAAAGAGCCAGAGGCAAAGCTCTTCGGAACACTGATATGATGTCACTTCTAGGCAGTGCCACAGGTCCCTTCTTAGTGTCCAGAACTTCTTTCTTTTAAGATTTATTTTTGTGTATCTGAGCACTCCATCTGAATGTACAACTTTATGTCAGAAGAGGGCATCAGATTCCACTAGAGATGGTTGTGAGCCACCATGCAGTTGCTGGGAATTGAACTCAGGACCTCTGGAAGAACTGTCGGTGCTCTTAACCACTGAGCTATCTCTTTAGCCCCACACCTAGGACTTGTAAGGTATACTTTGATCTGCCTTTTCCTAAAGTCCTCTCCCTTTCATTGCCCTGTGAGTGCCTGATGATTTTTGGCTTCCACTGAACTGCCAAGGCAAGAAGCTAGGTTTACTCACCACAGGGTACCAGGCAGCACCAGACAGTTCCCAAACCCAGGCTAGCTCCTGGGTGGAAAGGTAAGTTACGGGTCCAAACAACGTCTGCTTGGGGTGGAACTTTAAGACCCTGTCTCAGGGAAGGGTCCCCTCAAGCACGCACATACCTGAGCCTCCAGTTGACACTCGGTGAGGGCCATCATCTCCTCATAAGTCATCTGCGAGAACAGGGCAGCGTATTTGTGCAGGCGGAGGCTTTTTAACCACGCTGGGACATCTGTGGCATGACGCAGGGAGAGAAATGAAAGGAGAAAGCAGAGGTGACAAAAGATGGGGGGGATGGGACACAAAGGGGCGAGGGGTGATGGTCAGAGAAAAAAAGAAAAAAGTCACTTAATTTGGGCATCAGGTGATACATCAGAAAGCTTACAGCTGGTCCTGACAACCCACCGGATCCTTTATTCTATCTCAGACCAGACTTGCTAACTTGGGGCTTAAGCATTTCAGGGCAAACAGGAATGCCATATATATATATGGACGGTTTTCTAGGTAGAGTCTTCCATAGTGCCTTTAAAGTTATCAAGGGAGCTCATCGTAATAAAAAAATAATGAAATGCGAAGGGTCACTGCCATAGGTGGGCCATTTCCCTGTTGTCTTGGGAAGAACTGGCATAGAAGGCTGAAAGTAGATACCATAGTCTATACCCGCAGGGCACAGTTTGTTTTTTGAGGCTCAGTGCAGATCTCCATAAGCTAGGCCAGTCTCCTCTAGAAGCAGGAAACATGTGGTGCACCCCAATAACACCCTGTCCCATGCTTCCTCTGCCTCCCGACCTCCCTGGGGGATAAAGGGCACCCGGGACTACAGTGTTGCCACTGCTGCGGGAGAGCGGATGGTCACTTTCTCAAGTTCTGGTATGCATTTGCATGCCAACCCAAGAGATGTCACAACACCGAGCATCCAGACTCTGCCTAGACATTCCAAGGTAATGGGCATTCCAAAGCACACTGAAGCAAAGCCCAAAGTCGGTGTTTTAGAGGTAAGAAAATTACTGGGGTGAACAGCTGCTAACTGAGTCATTGCTTTGCCACTTACACAAAAATAAAGCATTTGCCCAAAGTCTCTCAAGTCAGAACTTTTGAGCCGAGAACTTTGAAATGCTTTTGGAATCACAGATGGCAACATTGTTCCACTAACTGCAGATCACAGAGATAGAATGGGTCAAGAGGGTTCTAGAACCCAGGATTCAGAGTGTCAGTTCTTCCATACATTGTAGCAAATCCTCAGAAGGACTGCAGAGATCACCGGCAGAGAGCTAAGTAAATAGAGATCGCAAGCGTTTTGAGATTCTAAGGCACTGGGTAAGTGTCATTCATACTCTTCATGACATGTCATGAGTCACGTTGGTCAAATACTTTTATACTGTTCATTACAAAGTGTTCCATGGTGAGGCAGTGATGAGCTAGTCACACGTATTCAAGGACAGGTGGAAATTTCCAATTTTTCCAGGTTTAGAGTAGATAACTAGGGCTATTGGAAGACAGTCAACCCTGACATCAGGCTTTGCCTCCCGGGCAAACCAAAGCAAGGCTCAGGGAGTGCCGATGGGCGTGATCTCCTTAGAGCCGGGCAAAGTATGCAATCACCTGCCTGCTGAGGGTACTCCGCAGTAGTGTGAGGACCACAGATGTGGGATTTCTGAGAATTAGAATTGAACATCCAATTCAGAACAGACTTCGTTGTCTCAGACCACTTGATTCTGTGTTTGGAAGTCCTTCAGTCTACTGTGACAAAAGAGAGTCCCTCTGGGACCATCATTAACTGCGCTCAGACAAGGCTTCTCCAGGTGCACAGTACTAACTCCTAACACATTCCTCAGTGCACACCACCCCTGGGTCATGATTTCAGACAATACCAAGCCAGGAGTCTTGTACTTTTCCTGATAGAACATCCTAGAGCTATTTCACCAGAGTTCATTCTCCACCCCATACTTGCTTTTGCTGAAACAACACTAACACTTCTGCAGACAGGGGTAACCATGGGTCGATATGAGTAGCCATGTTAACTACATCTCTATTGTTTTGATGGGCTACATGCCATCAATTGGTCCCCTGGCTTTGTGTTTGCCATTCATATCTTTGAAAAGTCCCAAATCATTGCTCAGAAAACACAACAGTCATGATTCAGGGAAGTCTGGGTATTCAGTGTTACACTTGGACACGATTCACCACAAAAGAGGATGGAGCAATTCCATGAACCTTTTTTTTCTTTTTTTAAACCAAGTGCCCTAAAGTTTAGTCATGCAAAATCCACTGACGGTAAGACGAACAAAACCCTCAGTTTTAAAAAGTTGCAAACTGGTTGTTTAATGAACCGAAGTGATAATAGCGTATCTTGAGTCAGGAAGCATGAGGGGCGACTCTTGGTTCACTAAGAGCTAGTAGTTCTAAGGAGCAATTTGGACAGCCAGAATCCTCTGGGATAGGCAGGACAGGCCAAGCTTGCCTCACTCATTTCTTCAAAATGCAGGTCATTGGGTGTAGTTTTCCTGGAACAGGTTCCTACACACTTCAAAACAGGATGAACTAGGTCTTCCTGATGGGTTATTTCCAGGCATATTCCTGGGAAATGTAGGCTCCTTTGACCTTACGTTCCTTAAGGCAGTCAGCCTGCTTGTACAGTGCCTAGCTCTGTGCCATGTGCCTGAGAAGTTCTGTGCCCTTTCTTCAGTGAGGATGGGTGAGCAAAGGGGAGGAAATCTCAGTCCTTAAGAACACAAGCCAGCTGTACAATATGAGCCTGACTCGACAACAACAATGAATCCCAAAAGAATAACAGAAAAGAACATAGCCTACCAACTGTTCTCTCTCTGCTTGGTGGGTAGTGACGTTCCCTTGCCAGAGATGAAGACAGAACTCCACTAAAAGGGAAACAAGCATGAGAACCGAGAGTGTCATTCCCACAAGCAAGAATTCCAAAGACTTGGTTGCTGAATTCTCTAGGAAATCAGCATGAACTCCAACCAAAGCCTAGATGCCATCCTGTTGGATGCAATGTTGAGAACTGTTTTAACTTGTTAGCTTGGATCCCATTTCTTTGTGGGAAGCTGTGGCTATGGTTGGAAGATTCAGGTACATGCAGAACAGAGGGTGTTTTGCGGAGAAGTGAAATGCAAGCTTGTCACTTATGTCTTCAGGGTACAGCTGTTTAGCTCCATCAAGGTTGCTTCAGTTGGACAAAGCAATGCAGGTCCCAAGCTAGAAGGACATATCCTCATGCAGTATAAGAAAGAGAAAGATGCTTCTCTTCTGTTCCACGTGAGGCGGATCTCCCCGTCAACTGACGGAATACTATTTGTTCAATGTTTACTAGGTACCATTAGTAGAGGTCAGGCCTTGTAAAGACTTGCCATTGACATCAAGGAACTTGTGATCCAGAGAGCAAGACTGAGTCCTGTTCAAAAATTGTAACAGCTTCAGGATAAGCACTGAGAATACCCAAATCCCGGGATGGCACGGAACAAGGAACACTTGGGTTTGCCGAGGCTGTGCATCCCGCTGTTTGCAGGAGCATCAGCTTGGAGTCCATTGGGCAAACCATGTCACAGAGGCCATTTCACATGGTAGGAACATCAGAAGCAAAAGCCAGAGCCACAGAGCATTTAGGGTAGAGAAAATGTTTAGTGAGAAAGTGTGGACATACAAGCAGGGGAGTCAGGTACCTGAGATAGGAAATGTCAAAACAAGAAAAGTAGACCTTGTGTCTTGTGGCCGATGAAAAGCCATTGAAATCTGCACGTTTGGAAACATGGGCTGCATCAGAAAGATGTCGGTGCTCATGGGAAGGTCTGGAGGATGGCGAGAAAAGGCCAGGGCGTGAGTTTGAGAATCCCCAGAGGAGTGCTTGAGAGGGGTGGGGGGCAACTAAAGGGTGGGAACTGATGGTACTTGGACATCAGAATAGGGAAGGAGGGAAACTAATGAACTGAAGATGACTCCTTTGGTTCAAGTTCGGGGAGAGGGAAAACGTGGAAAAGCCGGCACACCAAGACTTCGGGAAAAGGCTGAGCTGGAGAAGAGCTTGCCTTGTTGAGCGTGCTTGCTGGGTCTGCCAGTGTGTCAGTGCAGGCACGCAGACAGGGCACGTCGAATGAGATTACGATGGAGCCACGGTGAGGTCGTAGGGTGGCAGGCGCTGTGGGTACGGGGTTTCCATCCTTCCTGAGGCTCCTTCTGGCTCCTGTCATAGGCCACGCTGGTTTGTCTTCTCCAGGCTATCTCGGATAACAGCTACACGCCCATCCTGCATGTGTTCTGTGTGCACCCACAGGTCTTTGGCAATGGGATCAAATTTTATACTGTGCTCATTTCTATACCCTTTTAGGGTTTGGATACCATGACCGCAGAGAGGCTTTGAGTCATGTCCACAGCTCACATGGAAGCTCGGCTCCAGTGAGAACGTGGGCTGCTTTTCTCTTATGCCTGCTGCAGATGCAAGCCAGGTCAACAGGGCATGCAGTGCCCAGCCTCAAGTGAGGGCAAGTTGATAAGGGAAGCAACAGGAGGGGGAGAAATTAAGGCAACTTTTTGTCTAGAAGAGAGAAACATGAATGAGCAGTTTCCCACAAGAGAGCTTATTTGTGGTACGGTAGGTACCTGATGACAGAAATCAACTTATTCCTCACAGAGAGCCAGGCTGAGCTCACACAGCCTTCACTCTAAGACGTGGGCTGCATCCTTGCTCTCTGAGGGAGAGAAGAAACACAAAGGATGCTACAAAAGGACTAGCACTTCACTGTTGAAGTCAGAGAGAAAGCAAATCCTTCAAGAACAAAGAGCAGCAGTTTAGTGACACCAGAAAGCCTATCTTTATTTTTGGCCAGAGTGGAACGAAGAGCCTAGTTCAGTTCCAGGCACTGAACAAAGGAGGAAGGTTCCGGTTGGGTCCACAGGAGCTGTTCCTCTTGAGGGGAACTCATGATCCTGAGGAGTGTCTGGAGTGTTTCAGGAGGGCTCCCCTCTCCTGGGGACATATCATGAGTCTTTGAACAAACAAATTAGGGGTAAAATACTTCAAAGAATTAGATGCAAACAGTGAACTAAATTTCTTTCAGGTATTCCCATTTACCCCAACATTCCTTAGTGCAGTTCTTTAAGTGGCCTGTTTTGTATTGTTAAAGGGAAAGGAAGGCTCTTAAAGTCCTCTAGCTGAAGACACACTCAGCAAGGAGTGGAGGTTAAAAGTCCTGAGACCTTCCTTTACGATCTAGGAGGAGT